GGACATTCCATACGATATTTATTGAATTAACAAATTTTCAAAATTCCGACCATTTTGTGTGGGATGTACCCGAAGGAGTGGTCCAATGGGTCCCATCTTCGGTCACAATCTAGGATTGGAAAAAATACGATGATGTGCAATGTTTGGATCACATCGGACATTCCGTCCAATTTTTATTGAATTAGAAATTTTCAAAATTCCGACCATGTTGTGTGGGAGGTACCCGAAGGAGTGGTCCAATGGGTCCCATTTTCCAAATATATACTGATATAATGAAAATATTACAATTTGCAAAATTTGATTCCAAATGGCCAGTCCGTTCCCGAGATATTCAAAAATCAATTTACCGCAAAATTTCAACTATTTTGTGTGGGAGGTACCCCAAGGAGTGCACCAATGGATCCCACCGTCCAACTTCAATTAGTGTTTCGAAGAAATATTACGATGTACAAAATTTGAATAAAATCGGTTACTCCCTTCCGAAGTTATCGAACGTTTCACATAATGCTAATTTACGCTTATATAACATACGGTTATATATGTATTGTCGGTATGTAATAAAACTTCAAAATTTCATCTAACCATTGATGTAAATTTTTTGAAAATCGGTTTAGTAGTTGCTGAGTTATTTGCATTTGAACTGAACCATGTTCCGAAACGCACTCTACTGTTCGATACTGGGCGCCTGGTAACTGAAAATGAAAAATCACACAAAAATGCTGTTTTACAAAGAGGCAAAATTTTTCTTTCATTCATTCTACGTTGTATGTGTATATGTGGTGTATGCATGTCATGTTATGATTACATTACATGAGTTCAGAAAATTATAGCATACTTTTAGGCGAACACAGAGTTTGATTTTAAAAATGGATAGATGAATTCAAATGCAAATAACTCAGCAACTACTTAACCGATTTGGATGAAATTTACAGCAATGGATAGAGGGAATTCCAAAGTTTTATTACATATTGCATTCTCATATATAAACCCGTGTTATATAAGCGGAAATTAACATTATATGAACGCTCAAAAATCTTTTAAAATAATCGACTCGTTCTTTATTTTTTTAATGTGGACAAAGTAGACAATAAATTTGGTCGATTTTCAGCAAATTTTAGTCTAGAATAATGTATCCTGTTTTTGATCATGGGATCTAAAACCAATGCTCATTGGCCACAAGGCTGAGGGTAGATATATAAATCTTGGTCTGCAAATATTCACTAAACTCTTTTTATTTTTTTTTTTTAATTTCCCCCTTCCTATTTCACCTCTATTAATTAATTAATTTATGTAAAAAATACACACTCGAAGGGAAAAAATTTAACGTTTTAAACGTTAAATTTATTTTTTATTATAATGTTCTTTTAATAAAACAAAATAAATGCAATAAAAAATTTATATTTAAAAAAAAAACAAATAATGCTGCATTAAAATGTGTATGAATTCCCCCCAAACAAAAAAAACGTATATATCATAGGCTTAATATACACACTATATCTCTTATACGGTTAAGTAAATGAAACAACAAAACAAAAACCAACTATACATTTCTCTAAATAAGATTAATTTTTTTAAATGTAACATTTTTTTAGGTTTGGCTTTAATAAAAAACAAATAAAAAATATTTATAAAAAAGAAGAACCCTGAAAAAAGAAGAATTTTTTTATAAAATATATAAGCAAACTAAATAAACAAAATAAAAACAAAAACATATTTGTGTACTTGTAATAACTATAAATATAAAACCAAAACAAAACAAAAAACAACAAAATATAAATAAAAAACTACTGCAAAAAATCAACCAAAAAAACAAATTGTTTTATTTCTTGTTATGAGGATTTTTTTGCGGATACATATGTGCCGCTACAGATTTCTTTTGTTCGGCGACTTATACTGAAATTGGATATAGAAGATTTTTTCCATTTGGGAAGATTTTCCTAAATTGAAGATTTTGTGGAAAAAATTAACCAAAATCAAAATAACCTCAAAATATAATATAATAATTTCTCGTTTTAAATGCAAATTTTGAAATGTGAATTTCTTTGATTTTTACTAAAGATAGAGATTTATAGTGTTCAGTGACCCCCAGTAAAATTTGATGTAGAATATTTCTTTCATTGACACCAAGGCTCTGCAGTGAGGTTTTGTGGAAAATTTTGACCAAATTCAAATTAACCTCAAAATTTTAAATCAAATATTTTATCTTTTTAAATGCACATTTCTAAATGCGGATTTCGTTCATATCCAATAAAGATAGAGCTAAATTTTGTTCAGTGACCCTCTGTAAAATTTTCTGTGGAATATTTTTTTCATTGACACCAAGGCTCTACAATGAGGTTTTGTGGGAAAATTCAACCAAATTCAAATTAACCTCAAAAATGTAAATCAAATAATTTCTCTTAATAAATGCACATTTCTAAAAGCGGATTTCGTTCATATCTAATAAAGATAGAGAATAATTTTGTTTAGTGACCCCAGGTAAAATTTTCCTTAGAATATTTCCTTCATTGACACCAAAGCTCTAGAATGAGCTTTAGCTTGAAATTTTGACCAAATTCAAATTAACCTCAAAAAGTCGACTGTATGTATTTCTCTTTATAGTAGTCAATTTTGCTCAATGGATTTTATTGAAATTTATTGCCGTTATAGATTTCTTATATTCAGAGACCTCTGCTAAAATTTAGTATAGAATATTTTTCCCATTAACACTTTTTGTCTAAATCGACATTTTCTGCGAATTTTTGATCAAATTCAAATTAACCTCAAAAAGTCGACTGTATGTATTTCTCTTTAATATAGTCAAATTTGATTAATGTATTTTAATGAAATGTATTGAAATTACAAATTTTTTATGTTCAGTGACCTCTGCTAAAATTTAGTATAGAACATTTTTCTCATTAACACTTTTTGTCTAAATCGACATTTTCTGAGAATTTTTGATCAAATTCAATTTAACCTCAAACAGTCGACTATATGTATTACTCTTTAAAATAGTCAATTTTGATTAATGGATTTTAATGAAATGTATTGAAATTACAAATTTGGTATGTTCAGTGACCTCTGCTAAAATTTGGTATAGAATATTTTTCCCATTGACACTTTTTGCCTAAATCGACATTTTCTGCGAATTTTTGATCAAATTCAAATTAACCTCAAAAAGTCGACTGTATGTATTTCTCTTTATAATAATCAATTTTGCTAAATAGATTTTATGGAAATGTATTGAAGTTACAAATTTTTTTGTTCGGAGACCTCCCTTCAAATTTGATGTAGATTATAGCCTTCATTGACGCCAAACCGCTACAATGAAGTTTTGTAGGGAATTTTGATCTAATTCAAATTAACCTTAAATTTTTTATAATATTTTATATCCCAAATAAAAAGTGGTTATATTTTAAATTTTTAATGGAATTGTTTTTTTATTTTATTATTGTTGTTCTCATTATTATTTTTGTTCTTTGTTTCGTATGTTTGTTTTGTTGTTTTTCTTTTTTTAATAATATTTTTAAGTAATTTCTTTGGATTTGTTTTTTTTTTCTTTATTCCAGCGTTTAAATTATTTCGAATTATCTGTGCTGTATTTTTTTTTTTAATATATAGCAATACGGTTTTGCTGCAGTGCCATAAAGCCAATTTGATTTGTTTTGTATGATTGTTGATTTTTAAATGTAGATATTACAAAAAGAAAAATTTATCGAAAAAACATTTTTTTTTTGTTTTGCAATTATTAAAGATTGGGTTTTGCTTTTTTGTTGTAATCGAATTAGTTAATGACACTTTATAATTTATATTTATATGTATATATATATAGATATATTTATATAAATGAAAAGTCTATTGTTTATAATTAGCCTTAAAATAATTAAAAAAAAACAGATATATTTTACATGTCTTTTTTGGAATTCATTAACACACACATTCATTCATTACAAGTTTTTTTTTTTTTGTTTGATTGCTTTTTATAGCATGCCTGTGTTGGGTGTCTGGGTGTGTGATTTGTGTTAAAGTGATTTTTTTGTATAAAGAGGTTTTTGAAAATTTTGTTTTTTTTTAATCAATTTTGCTTTTTTTGTTTCTTTTTTAAGGTAATTAAGAAAATGTACAACTTTGTTGATGTAAAAACACAAATAATTTTCTGTGTTAATTTTTAAGTTAAGTATTTTTTTTTTCTTTTTGTTCTGGTGTCGATTTACTTTCTTAATATTCAAGGAATCGGTATGCGATGACATTTTGTTTGTTTGGGTTTTTTGTTTTTCTTGTCGTTTTCTTTATTTCAAATTCGTTTTGTTTTTTTACTAAAAATGCCTATACAAAAAAATGTGTATTTGTTGTTTTTTGTTATTTGTTTAAATTTCATATGTTCTTAAGGTGGTTTAAAATTACTTTCTAACACAAGTAAATACAATACAATATCTCTATATACTTCTTCTATAAATGAACAGAAATAAAAAATTAAAATAAATACATTTATGTATATGGCATTCCATTCTTTCTTTTTTTCCTACAAATTTATATCAAAACTTTGAGCAGCTATTCTTAAACTAAAAAAAAATAATAATAAATTAAATATTTAAAAAATATATATTAACAAAATCCAAAACAAAAAGTAATAACAATTGGGGAAAGCTCATTTGATGTAATTTAAAAAAATATATATATAAATAAAAATAAACCTTACTATACATATATATAAATAAGCACACAAGTTAATACTTTCTAAATAAATACACGGAAGTTTTTTCATTGCTTCTTATATTTAAGAAAAAAATAAAAAAACACAAAAGGAAAATCATCAATGAAAAACCATTGGAAATTTTCCCTTTTGGCTAACGTTTTAGTTTCTTTTTTTGTTTTGTTTTTTCTTTTAAATTAACAATTTGCATATGCGCATTCAGTTCAAAACTTAAAAAATAGTTTAGAAAAAGGCTTGGTTTTTGTTTTGTTGTTGTTGGCTTTTGTTGTTTTGCTTTGCTATGGAATTACAACTCTTTAGTTTTTTTCTTAGACATTAGCTATGGGTGCTTTACGTGTCATCGCATCCCGATTCGACTTATCCTACACATACTGAAAATTATGTGAAGCTGAAACGGCCGTTGAATCGTCACCACCACCGCCGCCACCATTGCTCAACAACGGTTCATGTTCGATGGGTTTCGAGGTGTGTACATCGAAATCGTAATAGTTCATCCAATCGATGCGCTTGGGTTTGAACAACCCAAAACAGGTGCACTCAAGAAAATCGATAAGGTTATTGAAAGCACCACGAGTGAATGGTGATTTGCCACTGCGTGCCTGGAAATGTCGATAACGGCCACGATTCATGCGTTCGTTGGTGGTCATGCCAAGGCAAATGACCTGATACGTCTGGCATATGGTTAGTAATATGACCCAGGACATGTGCAGCAGGGCATTGGCCATAACGAAACCAATCCAGGCATTACAGTCGCCAATGGCTCGTAAGGCAGCCAGTAAATCTGAAATTTGATAACAAAAAAAATTAAAAAAAAAAAAAATAATTTTTTCCTCTTAAAAAATTATAGATTTCGATTTGCGGAATTTATTGAAATCTATTGGAGTTACGGATTTCATATGTACAGAGACCTCTATTTAAATTTGATTGAGAATATTTCCTTCATTGACGCCAACCCTCTACAATGGAGTTTTGTGGAAAAATTTGGGCAAATTCAAATTAAACTCAAACATTTTTTTCACATAATTTTTTTGAATTATATATTTGGATTGCCCCAATGTTATTGAAATCTATTGCAGTTACGGATTTCATTTGTACAGAGACCTCTATTTAAATTTGATGTAGAATATTTCCTTCATTGACGCCAACCCTCTACAATGGAGTTTTGTGGAAAAATTTGGACAAATTCAAATTAACCTAAAATTTTTTTCTCTTATTTTTTTTTTAAATTTAGATTTCGATTGCCCAAATTTTATTGAAATCTATTGCAGTTACGGATTTAATTTCGACATCGACCCCAATTCAAATTTGATGTAGAATAATTCCTTCATTGACTCCAACCCTCTACAATGGAGTTTTTTGGAAAAAATTGGGCAAATTCAAATTAACCTCAAAAAATTTTATATCAAATAATGTCTCGTATAAATACAAATTTTTCAAAAGTGTATTTAATTGATATATATTGAAGATATAGATTAACATTGTTCAGTGAGTCCTAGTAAAATTTCCTGTAGAAAATTTCGTTCATTAACACTAAGACTCTACAAAGCGTTATTGTGCGAGATATTACTCAAATCAAAATTAACCTAAAAAACAAAATTGGTTCCGAATTTTTTCTAAACGAAAAAAATTGTTTCCGAATTTTTTCTTAACGAAAAAAAATTATTTCCAAATTTTTTTCTATACGAAAAAAATGTTTCCGAATTTGTTTTCTATACGAAAAAAATTGTTTCCGAATTTGTTTTCTATACGAAAAAAATTGTTCCCAAATTATTATCTATACGAAAAAAATCAATTTTTGTCTTATACTCACCATCAAAATGCACATTACAGGTATTCATATAGTAATAGGATCCACCGTATATCATCCAGCCGCACATGACCAACAACATCCACAGGAAACCCATAAAATATGTGTGATTCTTGAGACCAATACAATTGCCAACCCAGGGACAGTGATGATCGAAGCGGGCCACACAACGATCACATACACTGCAATGTTTGGAGCGTATGGGCCGGCGTACCAAGCAACCCGAACAGAAGGAGGATGGTTCAAAGCCAACACCACCACGTTCTGATAATTCAATAATGGTCTGCACAAAAGAAATCCGATTAGGAACTCATAAAAAATAACAAAAAATCTCTAATTTCTACTCACCTTAAATCTTTGTTCCTGTGTGGGTTGTATAATACCCGGATCACCTTTCCATGATTTCAAAAAACAATACCACAAACCACCGGAACATATCAGAAATAGTAACGTCGTTCCGAACGACACTGCATCAATGATATACACAAACCAGGTGATATAGAACCAGGCCTTGGTGGCCAAGTACACACTGAGCGGTAGCAGGGCCATTAAATGATCATCGAAGAGCGTCTTACCCAACGTATGGAACACAGCGTATAGACACACCAACAAAAAGAATTTTATAATATACAGGGTGTTCAGCGTGAAGACCACACCGGCCAAATAGAAGGCGGTAAATGGACACGCCACCATTGACCACCAACGCAGACGTTTATCGTGTTTGATGCGTGTTATCAGGCTGCGACGTTGTTGTGAGGTCAGCGAGGCATCACGCACCCGCTCCATAACCTTATTGCCAATCCACACGGCACCGGCCTGTGTCTCTAGCATACTAAGTGGTGTTTCGCCGCGCAAATTAGGCACATCTAAGGAAGCCTTCGATTTTAAAACTAAAGTACTAATGGCCGTCGAATTCCGTGCCAGTATGGCCCAATGCAGGGCCGTATTGCCGTGTGTGTAATCGACCATGGCGGGATTGGCACCCAGTGTTAGCAGCAAACGTACCGGATCCAGAGCACACACTTTCCATGCTGCCCACATAAGGGCTGTCATGCCGCCACGATCCTGTAAATCAGGATCCACTCCCTTGGCAATGAAATAGGCCACCAAAGCTGTATGGGCAAACTGGGCTGCAATGTGTATACACGAACAGCCTTCGGCATCACGTATCCGAGGATCGGCTCCAGCCGCCATCAGCAGGACCACAGCACCCAAATGACCTTGTCGTGTGGCCCAATGCAGGGGGGTAGCGTTCAGCTCACCACCCAAAGCATCTACCACCGCACCCTTTTCCAGAAAATACTTGATAATATCCCGACGATTATTGATGGCTGCCCAGTGGAGTAGTGTCACCGTTTCACTGTCACGCTGGTTAACATCCCAGCCAGCTTCCACCAGCTCTTTAACTCTCGCCGTTGCTCCATACTGTGTGGCTTTGACAATATCGAATGTGGCCATTTCACCCTTGTAGTCGGGCTCAATTGGTTGGGTGGGTGGTTGTTGTGACATTAAGGCATTCTGACGTTCGATTTCGCGTTCCGCCTCAGCATTGGGTGCACACGAGCCCGTAGTGGCCACATTACAAGCGCTCTGATACATATTGCTGGAATACTACTATCTCTCTTCGTAAGCAAGACTTTTCTTGCTCTGTCGCAAGGATATCCTTCCTTCGATTTCGATTTTATGATTCACCCCCACCACCTACTTTTTTCTTGTGGATTTATTACGCTGTATGATTTTTCGCCTGCCTCTGCCCCAAATTAAAACATGTTAAATGCGTACAGTTGTTGTATTTTAGAATATAGAGTTTTGCGACCTATTCGGAACACACTTAGTTGGAGAATTTCTGTTTTAATTTTCCAATTTTTTTTTTGTAATTTTCCAAAGGTCGATCCTTGGTAGAAAATTTTTTCTTCTTCTTGGCGTGCTTAAATTTCAATGCCGTTTCTTAAAGTTTCGACGGCGTTGGGGAATTGGATGGAATAGCTTTAAAACGTAACTGATAAAGCCAGAATCAAGACAAACAAAGATTAGTCTTAGTGTATCTTAGGTCGACAATCGGACGAATCGGGGAATCAAAACAAACAAAAGGAGTTATGTTTTTTAAACAACCTCAACAACAATATCAGCTGTTCACCCAAACGAGTTCAATTCAATTAATAATTCTTTGAAATGAGCCAAACGGAACTATTTCCCTACGACTCAACGGAGACAGAAGAGAACGGAGTAAGTACCCGTGCGGAAATCAAGAGCCATAAGTGGCACTTGAATAAATAATATACATATAAATCAATATAATTATATAAATTATATGATAATGCAACAAGAAACCAAGAAACGATGAATCAAAACACAAATACGAATGTCGTACAAAGAATAAAGGGAATGGTTACAATTGGGGAAAATGACAGCAAAATAATTTGAGTGCAGACTTGTGATTTTTTTTTTTAATTTTATAAACACATTATCACGTATTGGCGTTTTTATTGTTAACATGTCTCTGTTATACCTGATTCCCCCTGGATATTTTTTTATATACTATTTTGTCAAAATAATCATCATAACGGATATCCTGTTTTGTGTTCAAAAAATCTTTCCCTGTTCAAAAAACCTTTCCCTGTGGCTTCTAAAGCGACAAAAAAAAACATTTCGAAGACTTGTTGATACCTTGGCTCCTCAACAAATTTCACAGACTTAGTTGCCAAGAGCATTCCATACTATATCTCGCTCCACCATCGCAAGTGACCTATATTTATATATAAACGTCAAAAAAATTTACCTAAAACAAACGATTTACTATGTCGTTTTTGGGCTAATGTTGATGTGGCCTTACCATCCGTCCCGAACTGTATATCAACACACCTGAACAGCACTCATACAGATGCAGTCGCTCATGCGATCACCGCATGCCTAAAATGTAGACCACTAGCTTTAAATATCTAGATAAACCTTATCACCTGTCAGTAAAATTCCCTGTGGGTGCAATCCACAATAAAATGAACCTTGTATCTGACCATTTTTAACCAAAGCTCCCAATAAAATACCTATATACCAGCGGCGATCAATTTCTGCAGCCGATTTATATTGCGAAATATCGACAAAAAGACATCTTTTATTAAAAAAAAACTCAATTTTATTCGGAAGCCCACCGGAAACTATCCGAAGCACTTAGTAAGGGACTTTAGTTACCTCCCCATCGTGGGTAATGAGTGGGCCAAGCGAATCTGAAAAAAATGTAACCAGAATCTTCATTGGGACCTCCTAGTAAGGGATAGAGCGAAGGAAGACTAGAGCCTCTACAGTTCGTGCCGAATAATTGCCTTAAAAGTATCTCAGGAAAGTCACAAACTTCTACCGAATAACATGACAGAGCCAGGAATTTCTACTCAATCAGAAACGTTCAAGGGATTTTTTAAGAATTTTAGCAATAAGTGTGAATTTTTCAACAATTTTCTCGAGGACTTTCATCGCAATAGGCGTGGATTGTTTTAAAGAATTTTTCTGAGGAACCTTCATAGACGTGGATTTTTTAAAATTTTATTTTCTGAGGAAACTTCATAGACGTGGATTTTTTAAATTTTTTTTCTGAGGAACCTTCTTAACATTTTTAAAACAATTTTCTCGAGGACTTTTTTAACAATAGTCGGGGATTATCTCGAGGACTTCATTAACAATAGGCGTTGATTATCTCTCATAGAAATAGTCGTGATTTTTTTAAAGAATTTTCCCGAGAAATCTTCAAATTCATATGCCATGTCTGAATCATCGTATGTGTTTCCCTCTTTATTGTTGTTGTTGTGTGTGATATAAACGTATTATTACTGTAAGCGCCGTTATATTTTTGCCGCCGTCAGATTGGCATCACTGTGTGAACAAATCAGCTGATCAGTCATTTGAAAACAAATATATTGGCGCCTTTTATGCTTTATGCTCTACTTTATCGGACATTATTTTTATCGTTCCTCCTATTCATAACATTGGGAACGTATTTAAATTGTATAGGTTTGCAAAAAACGTCGTATCAAAATGGCGAAAAACCGCCAATAACTTCCAAAACAAAGAAACCAAAGAAACAATCCGTCAAGAAGTCGGCTTGAAAGAAAGTTAAGATTTTATATTTCAAAACTAAACACAATCGAGCTGGAAATAACACAAGAAAAATGAGTAATTTTGCTAATAAAAGGAAGCCTGGTCCCGGAGGATCTGCAAATGGCGCTGGTGGTGAATACAAGAAACCAAGGTAAGTTCCCTTAGAGAGATGAAATGGAGAATGTTATTCATTTGGAATTGTTCTTAGGAACTTTGATGATGACGATGATGATATGGGCGGTGGAGGAGGTTTTGAAATTGATTTCAACAATGATGACATGGATATGACCCAGCTGCTTGGTGATGGTCCAGAAAATCAACAAACCTCAGTGAAATGGTCACGTGTTGATCCACCCGAATTAGACCCCGAAACGGATAATCTAGTATTTCAACAAATCGATGTGGAAAATTATGTTGGCTATCCGTTGCCAGGTATGCCAGGTGCCAGACTTGGCCCGGTCCCCGTGATACGTATGTATGGCATTACAATGGAGGGAAATTCCGTCTGCTGCCATGTCCACGGCTATTGTCCATATTTCTATTTGGCCGCCCCTAACGGCTTTGAACAAAAAGATTGTTATAAATTCCGTGAAGCCTTGGATAAGAAGGTTCTGGCCGATATGCGCAGCAATAAAGATAATGTTCAGGAAGCGGTGTTGAAAGTGGAATTGGTCGAACGTTTAAATATTTATGGCTATCAGGGTGATAACAAGCAACGTTATATTAAAATTACCCTATCCATGCCGAAATTTGTGGCTGCTGCCTCACGTTTGCTGAAGCGGGATATCATCTATGGTGACTTTGATTTCCAGGATTGTCGTGCCTTTGAGAATAACATTGATTTTGATATACGTTTTATGGTGGACACCGGTGTGGTGGGTTGTAATTGGATAGAATTGCCGGCGGGCACGTGGCGTTTGAGAGGACGTAACTCCAAACCATTGCCCGAGAGTCGTTGCCAAATTGAAGTCGATGTTGCCTTCGATAAATTCATATCTCACGAACCGGAGGGTGAATGGTCCAAGGTGGCTCCTTTCCGTATTTTATCCTTTGACATTGAATGCGCTGGTCGCAAGGGTATTTTTCCTGAACCCAAAATGGATCCGGTTATACAAATCGCAAATATGGTTATTCGCCAGGGTGATCATGAGCCGTTTATACGCAATGTTTTCACATTGAATACCTGTGCACCCATTGTGGGCAGTCAGGTGTTGTGTTTCAATACGGAAACTGAGCTCTTAGATAAATGGTCAAGTTTTGTAAGAGAAGTTGATCCGGATATATTGACCGGCTATAATATAAACAACTTCGATATACCCTATCTGCTAAATCGGGCAGCCCATTTGAAGGTTAGGAATTTTGAATATTTGGGCCGGATTAAGAACATACGTTCGGTGATCAAGGAGCAGGTGTTACAGTCGAAACAAATGGGACGACGTGAAAATAAATATGTGAACTTCGAGGGACGTGTGCCATTTGATTTGCTATTTGTTTTATTGCGGGACTATAAACTGCGTTCGTATACCTTGAATGCAGTGTCTTATCATTTCCTGCAGGAACAAAAGGAGGATGTACATCATAGCATTATTACAGATTTACAAAATGGTGATGAACAAACCCGACGACGTTTGGCCATGTATTGTCTGAAAGATGCCTATTTGCCTCTGAGGCTGTTGGATAAACTAATGTCCATTGTTAACTATATGGAAATGGCAAGGGTAACGGGTGTGACCTTGGAATCGCTATTGACGCGTGGCCAACAAATTAAAGTCCTAAGTCAGCTTTTGAGGAAGGCAAAAACTAAGGGATTCATTATGCCTTCATATTCGTCACAGGGCTCAGATGAACAGTATGAAGGAGCTACGGTTATTGAACCGAAAAGAGGTTATTATGCCGATCCCATATCAACACTCGATTTTGCTTCTCTATATCCCAGTATTATGATGGCCCATAATTTATGTTACACCACTCTGCTACAGCCGGGCATGAAGGATAAATTGGGTCTAAAAGATGATGACATTGAGCGGACCCCCTCCAATAATACCTTTGTAAAGGCCACGGTTCGAAGGGGTTTGTTGCCAGAAATTCTCGAGTCGCTGCTGAGTGCCCGTAAGCGGGCGAAAAACGATCTGAAGGTTGAAACCGATCCATTCAAACGCAAAGTGTTGGATGGTCGTCAACTGGCCTTGAAAATCTCCGCAAATTCGGTATATGGTTTCACAGGAGCCCAGGTTGGTAAATTACCTTGTTTAGAAATATCCGGTTCGGTCACCTCCTACGGCCGTACCATGATTGAGATGACAAAGAATGAAGTAGAAACCCACTATACACGCGCAAATGGCTACGAAAATGATGCCGTCGTCATTTACGGTGACACCGATTCGGTGATGGTAAACTTTGGTGTCAAATCCCTCGAGAAAGCTATGGACTTGGGTAGAGAAGCAGCCGATTTGGTCTCATCAAAATTTGTACGACCCATAAAATTGGAATTCGAAAAAGTCTACTACCCCTATCTGCTGATCAACAAAAAACGTTATGCCGGACTATATTTTACCCGGACCGAAACTTATGATAAAATGGATTGTAAGGGTATTGAAACGGTACGGCGTGACAATTCGCCTCTAGTGGCAAATTTAATGAACACATGTTTGCAAAAGCTTCTCATTGAGCGGAATCCCGATGGCGCCGTGGAATATGCCAAACAAACAATTGCCGATTTACTCTGCAATCGTATAGATATTTCACAATTGGTTATAACCAAAGAATTGGCCAAGACAGATTATGCGGCGAAACAGGCTCATGTCGAATTGGCAAATAAAATGAAAAAACGTGATCCGGGTACGGCACCCAAGCTGGGGGATCGTGTACCGTATGTTATATGTGCAGCGGCCAAGAATACGCCAGCTTATGCAAAGGCCGAAGATCCCTTGTATGTGCTGGAAAATTGTGTACCCATTGATGCGAATTACTATTTAGAACAGCAGCTTTCAAAGCCATTGTTGCGTATCTTTGAGCCGATATTGGGTGAAAAGGCCGAATCGGTATTACTAAGTAAGTTTTGTAGTAGTCATGTGCTCAATTAAGGGAAAGTATTAATATTATTGTTTTATTTTAGAGGGAGAACACACACGCACCCGTACTGTGGTCACCTCCAAGGTTGGTGGCTTGGCTGGTTTCATGACGAAAAAATCTTCCTGTTTGGGTTGCAAGGCCCTTATGCCAAAAGGTTATGAAAACGCCCCCCTCTGTCCACATTGTGAACCCAAAATGGGTGAACTCTATATGAAAGAGGTGGTGGCCAAGCGACAAATGGAAGAAACATTCTCACGCCTTTGGACCGAATGTCAACGCTGCCAGGGTAGCCTGCACGAAGAAGTATTATGTTCGAATCGTGATTGTCCCATATTTTATATGCGGCAAAAAATACGCATGGACTTGGATTCGCAAGAGAAACGTGTTAGACGTTTTGGTTTGCCGGAATGGTAAATTTGCATCTTTGTGGTTTTGTTATTGTGTGAAATCGAATCAATTTTTAATTTACATAAATAAAAATTCCTAAACATATGTTATTAAATACTAAACATGTTTTAATTTATTTTATTTAGACACGGGGGAATCCATGATTTTATCGATATGTAATGTTGTTGCAGAATTCTTTTGCTTTCAGACCTGTAGTGAAATTCCTTGGAGAATAGTTTTTCCATTGACATCACCGACTAAAAATGGAACAATGTGCCATAAATTGACCAAATTGTAATTTAACATCACAAATTCTAAAGAATTCTTCATAATCAATATTAAATGGAAATATATTCCTATTACTCATTTCTTTTGTTCCCAAACCCAAGGCCTATATAAGGTCGGGCAGTAAGCACAGGTGACTATAAAGTTTTTTGTCAAATCATATTTTGAAACCTATACATACATACAAAATTATGTTCCAAAACGAAAATATAAATATTTTGTATATTCAATTCAATTTTAATTTATATCCTCTTTTTACAAACATTTGGAGTATTTCAAATTTTGAAGATTTTCAAATAATCCTACAAATTATAGATTGTGTTGTGTTTGGCTGTATTTTTTATTAAAGGCGAAACAATTAGTTTTCGCCTCGGCAAAAAAAGAATGACGTTAAACTTAAGTTTTTCCTATGAATTCGCTTACTGGCCGACCTTATATAGGCCTTGCCCAAACCTATAGTAAAATTTGACGTGGAATATTTTTCTCATTGGCATCAACCATCTAAAATTTAATATTGTTGCTCAAATAGGACGATTTCCAAATTAACCTAAAAATGTATAAAGAAATATTTTCATATGTTCTTAACCAATGTTATTGGGATATATAATGATATTATAAAGTTCTTTTGTTCGCAGAGCTATAGTGAAATTCGATATACAATACTTCTTCCATTAACATCAAGCATCTAAAATTGAGTAGTGTTGCTCAAATTGGCCGATTTAGTAATTAACATCTAAAATGCATTAAGAAAAGTTGAGTTTTTTTATTTGCCACGAATATATGAATATACAATATTATTATAGATTTCTTATGTTCCCAGACCCATAGTAAAATTAAATGTAGAATATTTTTCTCATTGACATCAAGAACCTAAAATGATACAGAATAGCTAAAATTGGCAAATTTTGAAAATAACCTCAATATTTCAAATATGTTTCTATTTTGTATGCAATTTTATATTGAAATATAATGTAATTACAATCCCGACCTTATTTGATGTAGAACATTTTGTATTAAGAAAATTTGTCTGTTTTTGTTTACCCTGATTATAATCATATATAATGTAATTACAGATTTCTTGTGTTCCCAGACCTATGGTAGAATTTGATGTAGAACATTTTTCCCATTGACATCAACCATCCAAAATTAAGTTATGTGTTAGAAATCAACAAAATTGGAAATTAACCTTAAAAATGTATTAGAAAAAATATTTTTTGTTTACAGCGATTATATTGAAAAATACCGTTATTACTGATTTCTTTCATTCCCCGACCCATAATGAAATTTGATTTTGAAATTATTTTTCATTGGCATCATCAATCCAAAATGTAGTAATATGTTTGTAAAACCTCAAAAAAATATATTTTTTCCCTTTTCCATAAATTTCCTCTTACAAAATATATGAGAACCCAAATATTATCTATAGTTAATTTATTACATTTTTGTTTTACTAATGTAACATACAAAAATTCTATTATTATTATAATAAACGTGTAAGATTGTACAGAAATATAGCCTAACAAATTATAATCAGCTGTTGTTGTTGGGAAATAATTACTTTTTTGAAAATATTTGCAAAACATAATCTCAAAGATTGTCAATACCTTTCAGTTGTTAATAAATAAATATATAGCGGAAAGTTCGTTTAAAATTTTTAATTTTTTTCTTTAGTTATTACAAACCTTTAGTTAATTATTGTATAGATATTTTTCTTGTTTTCTAAATAATGACTTAAATATTATAAACAAAAAAGAAACTAAATCATACAAAGAAAAAAGTGTAGGGTACACCATCCTATGAAATGAAATGCGGTATTTAGTTTATTTAACCAAAAGAAAAGGAATTATTTTGTTTTTTGAATTGTTGCAAAAGTTTTGTTATCTTTTTCTTATCTTTTTTTTAATTTTTCTTTTTTTACTTTTATAAATACGACTATTTGCGACTTTGCAATGTATTGGAAAGCCAATCCATAGCCTGATCAAGACCCTCACCTTTTGTCGCCGATGTTTTGAATATTTGGAAAGTACGATTTTTGAGATTTTCCAAACCTAGAGCATGATGTACCTCGGCAACTGTCATACAGCCTTCCATGTCTTGTTTGTTAGCTAATACTACCAATACGGCACCGGCAAGTTCTTCCTCCTAAAATAAAAAAAATAATATATTGAAACTATTTCTATTAGCTTGCAATCTCAAAATCAACCTTACCCTTAACATATACAACAGTTCATCTTTGGAAATACCTATTCTATCACGATCTGCCGAATCAACCACATAGATTATGGCATCTGTATTGCTGTAATAACATCGCCAATATGGTCTACAATAACAACAACCACAATAAAAACATTATTAAACAAATTTTTACAATGATCTCTCTGTTCATCACCTACCGTATACTTGTCTGTCCACCCAAATCCCATACTTGGAATTTTAAATTTTTATATGTAACCTGTTCCACATTGAAACCTATTGTCGGTATGGTGGTAACAACTTCACCCACTTGCAGGCGATATAAAATTGTTGTTTTGCCAGCTCCATCAAGGCCCAATATTAAGATACGCATTTCCCGTGATCCCAATAAGCCACGAAAATAACTTAATACTCCACCTAAGAGGGAAGATAATAAAACACAACAACATCAATTATGCATTATTTGTACAAGTTAAGACACAACCACAAAAACAACAACAATAATGATATCCTTTTGCAACACACACTGACGGACTGACTCACAACGTCACATTACTTATCTGTGGGTACTGTGTTTATTCTGCACTGTTTTGTTGTTGCTTTTTTTCCTATACTAACCCATTTTATTGTTGTTTATTGCTGTTTACTATATAACGGTAATTGAATTTATTTAATAATTATTCTCCTTTTTTATTTTCTATTGATTAATTAAGTTTTTTTCTTATAAAATATGCAAAAAATCTTTCTCAGGCTATTTTTCCTCTTGGTCTTTATGAACTGTCAAATTGGTTGGAGCGACGACAGTGAGAGCGACCGAGCACCAGTGAGATGACAACAAATAATCGAAATGAATTGAGAGCCAAAAGAGCAAAATGACGTGTCGTATAGCAGCAGCAGTGTTGTATTTACTTGATGGAAATTCAAAACACTTGGACGAGACAATTTTTAATGCAGAATTTTATACAAATTGTGATAATTAAAAGAAAATAATTGATAATAATAAAAATATATTCCAATATGTAGCTATTTCAAAAAAATATTTTTTGGATCTATTATAGCATGATCTTTGTGGATTTTCTTTAAAAAATATAAAGACATTTTCTTTTATTAAACAACTTTAAAAAAGTTTTCAGCTTTCAAAATCAAATTTGACTGTGATATTCCTTTATAAATTGATAATTCACATAAAGCCAACTCAAGGAAACGATAATTCCTTACTGGAATTCAAACCATCAAAAATAAAGTAATGTGGCTGAAATTGACAAATTTCGTAATTAGCCTCTAAGAGCATTAATAAAATTAAAGTTTTTTTTTATTTATCACGATTAATAAAATCTGTGTTGTTATAGATTTCTTATGTTCCCAGACCCATAGTAAAATTAAATGTAGAATATTTTTCTTATTGACATCAACAACCTAAAATAATACAGAATAGCGAAAATATGCGAATTGTGAAAGTAACCTCAATATTGCACTCACAAATATGTATCTATTTTTATATGCAATTTCATATTGAATTATAATGTAATTACAAATTTCTCGTGTATCCTGACCTATAGCGAAAATTGATATAGAACATTTTTCTGTGCCTTAAATTAGCCATTATCGAAATTAACCTTAAAGATTTTTTAAGAAAATTAGCCATTATCGAAATTAACCTTAAACATTTTTTAAGAAAATTTGTCTTTTTTGATTATAGTTATATATCATGTAATTACAGCATATATGTCAAATAAATCCTCATAAAGTAGGTTAACCCCGTAAAAAGTTCTTATGTACAAGCAGTTTTAATCCCCATATGTGTTTCCCTCCTTTAATATTGGCGTGAATTTTTAGAAAATTTGTATATCGAAAGTCAAAATGTTAAGTTTTGTTTTAACTGTAAAAATGTTTGAATTTTTTTAGCATTTTACAACATACTTTTAGGAGAAGTGATTAATTTTTTACTGCAAAAGCAGAGTTGTATTTGAAATTTTCTTTATTTAGCAAAGGATTTCAAGCAAATCGAGATAATGAGTAGATTTCAATTTTTATTGTAAATCGTGGTAAATTCAGCTCGATTTAGTAAATTATTCTGAAAGAACCTTAAGACACTTTGAATGTTAATTATGTGTAAAATTTCTTAATTAAAAAACCTTTTATTTGATTATTTTGTTAACAGAAATGTGTTCAATTACATTTTTGATGTATTGCCTGGTGACATAAACAAGGCAACGCAAAGTATGATGTTGGCAGTTGTGACGGCGTTGCTAATTTAGTCGTTGGCTTAGCTTTTTACTGTTGACTAAACCAACAAATTCACAGTAAACATAAAAATATTGAAAAAAATCTATTTTCTAAATTTCCTGCCCCTTGGGATATACGAAATAATTTTGAGAAGTAAATAAAATGAGTGACGATGACCGTGATATCGATATTGAAAGTGATGTGAGTAAATTGGCGCTTCCAAACTGCGACTTGAAAATATAATTTTGTATATATGTAAAAAAATTACTGGAAGTGGTCGTCAATTCATGTAGCAATCTTTTGAAGAGAGCAAGTTCTTTATATTGAGAGTGAAATTCCCACCTTGAATCTCGCAACAACAAATGAAAACATTGGAAATTTGTGTTGAAATGACAACATTTTGATTACAATTCAATTGCAGGATGACAACGATTCGGATGCAGGCCTGCCACAGCGCCACACCAACACACAAAATTTTACCCAAGAAGAGAAAAGGGCCCACCACAATGCCTTAGAACGGAAACGTCGTGATCACATCAAGGAAAGCTTTACTTCACTGCGTGAGGCTGTTCCCTCGCTAAAGGGAGAAAAGGTAATCTTCCTACCTTACTAACAAAATATTAAAAAAAAATAATAATTTTAACTTTTTAAATGCAGGCCAGTCGCGCTCAAATTTTAAAGAAAACCACGGAATGTATTCAAATAATGAGACGTAAAATTCAGGCCAATCAAAAAGATGTGGAGGATATAAAGAAACAAAATGCCATACTGGAGGCACAGAGTAAAAAAACAATAAATTAAATTATTTAGTTCGTTTAATACGATTGCATTAATTTCTTCTATTCCAGTTCGTATGTTGGAATGTGCCAAAAGTGGCTATGTCATTGATCCAACTGAATATCAACAGCTAACGAGTGGAGATCAATCGGTTCAACATGACAGTTGCTCTGATGGTGATGATCAGGACTTTAGCCGACGCAGTAAGAAAATGAAAACATCCTATCAGGCATAGTAACTAATGGAGGAACAATTTGAAAATCTCCAATGTTCAAATGATTAAAAAACCCCAACAGAAAATCTAAAAAACAAATGTTCTTGAGACACCGAATTATTGCCTCTTCTTATGTCGTAGTAGTTGTAGTAGTTTAAATCTTTGTAATTAAACTAAAAAGCAAATTATTGGTTTTCTCTATAAGAACCAAACCTATTATCATCTACTATAAGAAAAAAAGATTAATTTTAAGCACTACCAATTCACAAGTATGCTAATGCAGGTATAGAATGAGGAGGTACAACAACAAACATTTTTTTCAAACTTTATATTTTTTGTCTTTTTTTATAAATGTACAATAATAATAATAAAAAAATGTGTAATAAATGTTACTTTTTCCTGTGTTTATTCTCTATCCTTTTTCCTAAAGTTTACTAACCAATGAAAAGTGATTTCGCTTTCAGACTACTTAAGCTTTAAAACAACATACAACAGAAGGAAGACAAATAGTACAAATAAAAACATATAACACATGTGACGGCTACCACCATTCTTAGCCAGTCTTACTACCCTGTTCATTGTATTGCCCAGAAATCCCTGTGTTCGATCCATATCATCATCAATACCACGTAGCAATTTATCTTGATATCGTACTTCATTTCCTATATCTATGGTTAGGGATTTGAGGGCACCAATTTTCTGCTTTAGCTCTTCGGCCGCCCGTTCATTTTCCTCCTCCAACGAATCATGGCCCAGAGGGCTGGGATTTTGATTTAACGGTTGGTATGGGTAATTATTGTTACGTCTCATATTCGTTAGGTTCGCCACGATCGATCTGTAAACATAACGAAAAACACATAGCCATGAATTGTGAAATCTACAATCAAAACAAATCCAAAGGGTAACGAGCGACACGTACCTTCGAATTTATCGCTTGCTAAAAGGGTGCTTTTCAGCAAATTGGATTTTAGGCAGCTGTTGAATACGACTACTTAATATAAAATACTACAATTTCAATACCGATATTATTTCAATTGGAATGAATTATTGGTTTATTGTGGTCACTCCTATTGTACCACCGTTGACGTATGTTGGCCAGCCAATTTAACAAACTCTGTTGAATAATTCACAATAGCGTTATGTGAGCAAGCGGAGAGAGAATGAAAAAGAAAAATATGTCAAATTGTATGTGATACTTAATTAATGACGCAGTATCAGTGGCATTTGGTCAAGGTTCAGAGCAACACATCAAATTTATTTGATGCGTTGACAATAATTAAAGGCGCGTTTAGACTGTGCCATCTAATCGACTCTATTTTTAGTCGAGATACCAAAACCTAGTTATTTAGCCAATTATTAAAATGATATATAGTTGATTTGCAAACTGTTATTTGTGTATACAAATATATGTATATATATAATTTCTGTGTCAATTTTTCAATCAATATTTTCATAATTTTGATAGGAATTGATCTATTACTTCTAAATCAAATCGATTTGTAAATCGAGATATCAAATCCTAGTTATAAGGATTAAGGTACGTTTAGATTTACGACTCTATTTTTAGTCGAAATACCAAAACCTAGTTATTTAGCCAATTTTTAAAATGATATATAGTTGATTTGCAAACTGTTATTTGTGTATACAAATATATGTATATATATATAATTTCTGTGTCAATTTTTCAATCAATATTTTCATAATTTTGATAGGAATTGATCTATTACTTCTAAATTAATTCGATTTGTAAATCGAGATATCAAATCCTAGTTATATAGATTAAGGTACGTTTAGATTTACGAAATCCACTCGATCTCAAATGTCAATACTATAGCGTATACGTCAAACATAATCCACTAGATTTGTGAACAGGATTAACGTGACGTATACGCAATGGAATTGTCGCTTGAGTTCGAGTGGGCAAAAAAAAAATAAGGTTTCTTTAAAACTTAATAGCTATATTCTTGAATAGAGTAAAACGATATGTCATGGCTGATATTAGTCTTTTCAAAATAGTGATAAATTTCAGAATATTCACGATAGAGTTGCGAATTTTTCACATAATTCTTCCATTAAATTGCAGTAACATTGTTTAAAATATGCAATATATTGGAGTATTTCTGAAGAAACTAGGTGTGGTGATAAAGGTATAAAAATATTTCTAACATCTACTTTTTAGACAAATTTTTCTATTCAGCAAGTATATTTTATAATCAGCAAGACTTTTTTTTATCAAAATTACAAAAAAGTGCGATGTTTTATAGTGAAATTTTGCTATTATCAAAATTAAAGAACAAATACGTTTTATAGGGAAATTTTGATATCCAGAAATATTTTTTACAAAAATTTTTTATATTCAGCTACATTTTTCATATGAAAATATTACTCAGCTTTTATATAAAAAACTTGCTATTCAGGCAATTTCCAGTACAAAATTTGCAAGTCTGCTAACTTTTATATGCAAAAACGTACTATTCAGCACGAAATGTTGCTATTCAGCTAATTTTCTATTTTCAACTATAATTGCAATTCCGCTAAATTTCACGGAACAAATTCTCTATTCAGCCGTTTTTATATGAACATGTTCTATTCAGCAACTTTTCTAGAAGAAAATAAGTTATATAGCAAAACTTAAAAAAATGTATAAGAAAACTTTGCTATTCAGCAATTATATTTTTATATTCAGCAACATTTTTATATGCAAATTTGCAATTCAGCTGGTCTTATATAGGAAATTTTGTTATTTTAATTATTTTATAATAATTTTTCATTTATTTAACATTATATTAAATAATTTATTAAAAATCATTTTAAAAATAATTGGTCTGTTCCCGTACTGCAAGAATCTAGATTTTACTATTTTCTTCGATAACATAAAGGAAATTTTGCTATCGTAGTAAAAAATAGTAGATTCTTGCAGTACGGGAACACACCAAATCATGTCAAAAACATAGACAATAGAGTAATTATTTTATATTAATAGACATTTTTTTATATTAAAATGAATTGTATTATAATAATATTATTTAATTAATATTTATTATTTTATATTAAGAGGTTGTCTTATATTAATATCATTTATGTAATATTGGTTTCTATTATTTTATTCATATTTTAATATTCTTATTTATATTAATTTATCATTTGTCAAAAACATCGACAATAGAGTAACAGCTGTTGTGTCAAATGTAATCGAATCGATAAATCGATTACTCTCTCTCTCTCACTCTAGCAACCCCAAAAGACAAAAGTCGACTTACAATTCCCTAATATGGCACAGCCAGTCTTCTCTCTTATAATGCAATAAAAAGAACGTTAAAAGTGTATTTTTGTGCGGTGAAGCAGCAATAATAATAGAATCGAAAATTCAATAAAACAAACATAGGATATAACAATAAGAAAAACATATTTCTATTTGGTAAATATATATACATTTTTATAAATAGATAAAATATGTATTTGTATAGATTTTGTTTACCAAAAAAAGAAAAAGAAATCGTGTTGAGGGTAATTATTTATTTAACCGAAGGAAAGGTGTTGTGCAATGATTAAGAGGTTCATCATCGTCACCGGTGTTCAACCTTAACTTACTTTTTTCTTCAACTTACCCCACACGTTATTTTGTTGTTTTGTGTCTTCGATGTCATGGGCAACCGAAAACGGCCAACCAGTTTTGTGTGACTTGGCCAACCAGCCAACCAGCTAGTCAGATTGTGTGTGTGTGAATAAAACAAACAATAGAAAAAAAGATTAGATGCAACAAAATATATATTTGGAATGTTAATGTAAATATTTATTTAACTATTGATTTTAGATGCAACAAAATATATATTTATATATATTTGGAATGTTAATGTAAATATGTATTTAACTATTGATTTTATCATACGTTTTTTTAATATTTAATTAAGATTTCACTTTTTTCTAGTCAAGGCCACACAAGTTTTCTAAAATTTACCGAATAATATTCTTCCCTGTGTTTGATTTTGTAATAGAAGTAGATCAAGGACATTTCCGCAAATGAATGTGACTACCGACACTGTATGAAATTTTGTTTACCTCATACATCATTATCATGATGTTGTACGTAATATACGGCGTTGATAGAGGCGATAGGCGTATGACAAGCAACCCTTATTTCCACAATCTTATCAGAAATGTATGTGTTTGAATCCAAAAACACAATTTTTGTTATAATCAATATGACATTTATATGATGAAATCGGTTGTACTAGATTTTATTTTCTTTTTTAATTTATTTTCAAACATAATTTTCAGTGTTGAAGAATAGTTTTAACATTTTTTTGAAATACTACCGCTACAGATAATTAATTTTGTATATTACAACAACAAGAAAATACTGCAATATAAGCTGCTGATCAAAGAATTTCCTGAATTTTACTGTAACAAAAGAAAAGAAAAAAACTCATAATCAAAGTGATATTTTTGCATGCCATTGCTAAAAAATCTAAGTTTTTTTTATTTTTGCTTTGTTAAAAATGTTTTTTTTTTGTTTTTGTATAAATTAGCATATTCTGTCCGGTACATATGTACTCTATATAAATATTTACAACTAATTTAGATTGACACAGTAGGTTAGGTTAGTTATGATCTCTCTATGAAATATAACATAATTTGTAAGCACAAAATAGAAAAAAAAACTTGACTCTTTCCGTTGTTATTTGTATATAATTTATCGTAGTAACCTATATTTATAGTTCCTCCTTTGTTTTGTTGTAGTTATGATAAGTCCAATATGCATTAGCAGCATTATACGATGATTGGCTATTGACTCTAACGCAAAGTTCAAAATCTTTATTAATAATAACAACAACACACAGTATAATAATAATGATGCTGCTTTGTTCTCACACACTTAGTATCTGTATTTACACTTACATATATGATCTATATGATTGGAAGAAATATTTACAAAAAAAAAAAAACTAATTGCTGTTTGCATTGCAAATATATCAATGGTCAGAGTAAAGTGGGAACAAACTTTTTCAATGGGATTCATTTTTTATTTTATTTTTAAATTTACATACTTCAAATACTTTTGAGGCTAATTTGAAATTTGAGCAATTTCAAGCACACAACTTCAATTTAGAGGCGAGATACCAATGAAAAAAATATTCTTCATCGAATTTCACTATAGGTCAGTGACCTTAGGAAATATGTAATTCCATTATATATCCCTAAAAATCTTCCAAACAAAATGAAAACCATTTTTTGTTTATACATTTTTGAGGTTAAATTTGATTTTATTCGATTTCAGGCACACAACTTCATTTTAAGGGGAAGATGTCAATGGAAAAAAATATTCTTGCTCAAATTTCACTATAGGTCAGGGGCCATGGGAAATATGTAATACCAATATACATATATCCCTAACAATCTTCCAAGCAAAATAATAATCATTTTTTCGTTTATAAATTTTTGAGGTTAAATTTGATTTTGGCCGATTTCAGGCACACAACTTAATTTTAGGGGCAAGATGTCAATGAAAAAAATATTCTTGATCAAATTTCACTATAGGAAATCTGTAATACCAATATATATCCCTCAAAAACTTTCAAGCAAAATAAGAATCATTTTTTTCGTTTATACATTTTTGAGGTTAGATACGATTTTGGCCGATTTCAGGCACACAACTTAATTTTAGGAGCAAGATGTCAATGAAAAAAATATTCTTGATCAAATTTCACTATAGGTCAGGGGCATGGGAAATATATAATTCCAATATATATCCCTAAATCTTCGAATTTAAGCTAATTTAATTTTTTCAGCTATTTTTCTGGCATTTGTAGCCTAGCCGAAAACAATGACCCTAGAAGCAAGTGGTGGTGGTGTTGATATGGGCATAATTGCCAAATTATCGGATAAAGTTGGAGCACCCGAAGCGGCCATACGCCTATTGCTTACTCTAATAGCAGGTAAGTTAATGTGACCTACTTTCCTGATGATGACAAATCACACATGAGTCATCATCTTAAAAAAAATGTTTTTGATTGTTTTCTTTTTTATTTTTCCAGGCTACCCGATTGCATTTATTTATCGCTTCTTAATCCAACCACAATCTTCAAAGCCCGTACATCACATTTTCTTTTCCCTGTGCGGATTTGGTTTGTGCTTTTTCAATTATGGCCTAAATACTTATCATTCATTGGTGTGTATTTGGATTACGTATTTGTTGGTGCGTCTATTACGCCATTCGCCCAACCATTTGGTGGGTGTGAATTTCACATTTCAATTGTTGTATCTCTTGACGGGCTATTATTTTACGGAAAGCAATGAATACGATATACTGTGGACAACACCACATTGTGTGCTGACATTACGATTGATAGGCTTCGCCTTTGATGTGGCAGATGGTGTAAAGCCTAAAGAGAAATTATCCAAAGATCAATTGGAATGTCATTTGGAGAGGACACCGTCGTTGTTGGAATTAATGGCCTATGCCTATTTTCCGGGATCATTTTTAATTGGTCCCCAGTTTCCTTTTCGACGTTATCAACGTTTCATCAATGGAGAATTTATTCAGTACAAGGGTTTTGTTAAGACAGGGCTAATACGTCTCGCCTTGGGATTGGTGTATTTGGCTGTGCGTCAGGTGGGGGCCATGATGTTGCCGGATAACTACTTCCTCACGGATGCCTATCGTAATCAACCATATGTGTGGCGTTTAATCTATTTGGGTCTATGGGGTAAATTTTCCCTATACAAATATATTTCGTGTTGGCTGCTGGCCGAGGGGGCCCTTATGTGTTTGGGTAAGTAGAGGGGATATTTATTTGTGGGTCTTCTTGAGTTTTGATTTTTTGTTCTTTCTTTTAAAAGGTTTCACCTATAATGGCAAATCCGCCGATGGTAGTGATGATTGGTACGGCTGCTCAAATGTGAAATTGTATCTACTGGAAACCGGCAATACCATGGAACACTATGTCAAATCCTTCAATGTCAATACCAATCAATGGGTGGCCTCCTATGTCTATAAACGTTTAAAGTTCCTGAATAACCGGGAAATTAGTTATGGTGCCGCCTTGGGATTTTTGGCTGTGTGGCATGGTTTCCACAGTGGCTACTATATGTCATTTTTCATTGAGTATATGATTGTGACAACAGAGAAGCAGGTAAGGCAGAATTTTATAACTTGAGTAACATTTTTTTAATGTTTTTTCTATTTTTTAGGTTGAAGATCTCTACAAAAAAGACATTGTCACAAATTACCCCAGTTTGGTCAATTCTCTGCTTTTTAAACTGCTCAAGTTTATAGCCTTGAAATCGTATAACCTCATCTACATGGGCTGGTGTTTAACTCCATTTATTTTCCTAAGCTATGATCGTTGGCTAGAGGTTTTCAAGGCCGTCCATTATTTTGGATTTATCTACGTTGCCCTATGGATGGTATTCTTTAAGGTCTACAAGAAGTTGAAAGCATCCCACAAGAAATCCCAAGAACGTGTACCCAGCCGTGCCACAGATCTATCGCCCACAATCAACGAATCTCAAACGAAGGATAGTGGCGGTAGTAAGGCCACTGATTTGTCACCAAATATGCAAGATAATAAAAAGGATAAATAAGTTAATGAAAACAGAAAATAGTAGCTATACCAAAAATAGATTTGGTATAAAAAAGAAGGACAACATACCATATATATATATACGATCGAACGAAAAAGGGATAATTCCAATCAACCAACCAACATAAAAGGAAAGCTTTAAGACATTTTTTTGTATATAAGTAGAGTCTTATGAATGATTTTAGATATCATTCAAAATTTTATTGATAATTTTAAGAAGGAGCCCCCCAATTCTCCTCCCCATTTATGTCATGGTAAGGTTTTAAAATTGACTTCTAAGAATGCCTAGTTCCCTTTGTTCGTTTGACAGCCACTCTTTTTTAATTAGGTTTATTTATTTGTATTCTTTTTTTATTTTATTTTTGTATTTTAAGTGATGATGTCTTATTAAATTGTATCTAGTCAGAGCATTAACAAAAAACAATGAAGTAATATTAACTTACACATAGTACTTTTACTACTACTATTATAATTTTTAAATATTAATTTTTTTCTCCCCTCCCCTTGTACTCCCCTTGTATTATTACAAACATATTTAATATCTATAATGGACTCTTATAATGCAAACAATATAAGGCCCCCTCCCCCTCATTGACTATTTATCTTCCTCTTTTGTATGGAAGGATGGCTTTAGTGATATTGCAACAACAACAACTCACTATTTCACTTAATATTAAACTACTAACATATAAGGAATTGCAAATGGTTAACTTACAATAAGTTGTGACGCCGGTTAGGTATTTAAACAAAAGAAATAAAACAAAAAATATATTCACATATATTTTTGTAATCATAAAAATTATAATAATAATAAATCGAATGAGTATGACTTATAACAAGCAACGTGAATGAGTGAAATAAACATTTTAATAAATCACAACAAAAATTGTTTTTTTTTCTTCTTTTTTTAAAGGTTATTTTCGTTTATGGAAAGTTCAGGCATTTTACTTCATTTTAGAGGGTTGATATCAATGGAAAAAATATTCCTCATCAAATTTCACTATAGGTCGAGGAACAACAAAACACTGTATCTGCAGTATTTAGCACTATAAACTTGAAAAACATTATTTAATAAAAAAAAATGAGGTTAATTTAGGTTTTGGTCAATTTCAGCCATAAAACTTCATTTTAGATCGATGCTCTAAATGTAAAAAATATTCCTCATCGAATTTCACTATAGGTCGGCGAACAACAAAAAACTGTAATTACATTGTATAACATTATAAATCATGGAAACAAAATAATAAAAACATTTTCTCTTGCATAACATATGTTTATATATGTATTATCAATATGTAAAAAAACCTTAGAATTCCTTCTAATCATTGGTGCAAAATTTATAAAAATCGGTTAAGTAGTTGATGAGTTATTTGCATTTGAATTCAATCATGTTCCGAAATACACCCTTCTGTTCGGTACTGGGCACCTATTACCTAAAAATGAAAAATCATACAAAAATGAAGTTTTTAAACACGGGATATTTAATGATGCTGTGTATGTATGTGTGTCCTCATATCAATTTTAAAATCAGCCTAAAAGTATGTTAATAATTTTCTCTACAAAACAGAGCAGCCAATACGAAAGAAAAATTGCCGTTTTTAAAAAATCAATTTTTGTGTGATTTTTCATTTTCAGTTAATAGGTGCCCAGCACCAAACAGAAGGGTGTATTTCGGAACATGGTTGAATTCAAAGGCAAATAACTCAGCAACTACTTTACGGATTTTTATAAATTTTGCACCAATGATTAGAAGGAGTTTTAAGGTTTTATTACATATTGACAATACATATATAAACATATGTTATATTAGAGAAAATATTTTTAATATTTTGTTTCCATGATTTATAATATTATACAATGTAATTACAGTTTTTTGTTGTTGTTTTGTTTTTGCCGACCTATAGTGAAATTCGATGAGGAATATTTTTTACATTTAGAGTATCGATCCAAAATGAAGTGGTATGGCTGAAATTGACCAAAACCTAAATTAACCTCAAATTTTTATTAAATAATGTTCTTATTTTTTAATCAAGTTTATATTGCTAAATACTGCAGATACAGTTTTCTGTTGTTCCCCGACCTATAGTGAAATTCGGTGAGGAATATTTTTCCATTGGTAGTATCCATCTAAAATGAAGTAAAATGGCTGAATTTGCCATTAAACAAATTTAACCTCAAAAAATCTTATTAAAAATGTTCCTTATCTTTTCACCAAAATTATGTTGATAAATACTGTATATACAGTTTTCTATTGTTCCCCGACCTATAGTGAAATTCGATGAAAAATATTTTTTCCATTGGCAGCATCGATCTAAAATGAAGTAAAATGGCTGAACTTGTCTTAAAAGAAATTAAACTCAAATTTTTTGTTTAAAAAAATGTTTCTTACTTTTTAACCATGATTATATTGCTAATACAGATTTCGTTTGTTCCCCGACTTATAGTGAAGTTCGATAAGGAATATTTTTTCCATTGGCATCATTGATCCAAAATGAAGTGGTATGTCTGACCTCAAAAATTGTATTTCGTGTCAGGGTTGAATTTAAATGTAAATAACTCGACGGCCACTTAACCGATTTTCATAAATTTTGAACCAAGGGGTCCAGGGAAATTCATAGATTTATTGAAAATACTGGCTTTAGACCCCATGATATTCGAAGAATTCCGCCATTGAATAAAAAAACCATTTATTTATATGTAGAAGAAAAAAATGTATTTTTTATTAATATCGAATTAAAGCAAAAAAAAAAAAAATGAAAACATCTTAAATGTAATATAAAAAATAAAATCCAATCAATCTAACATTGATGAGAATGTTTAGAAACATTTACATTACTAAGTGTGTTGAGTGAAACCAGCACATAATTATTTTTAATGTTCCATTGGTTGACCGTCTCCGCCAGCACCAACTTCCTCTTTCGGCTGTATTGTATCACCAATTTCCTCTTCAATCTCATTGAACATATACTCATCCTGGAACTCCTTTAATATCTGACTTGAACGATTCTCATCCAAAAATAGCGAATAGACTTTCTTTACATCTTCCGTGGTGACTTCGGTGGCTTTACGTCGCCGGCACACCAAATTTGCTGTTGTTATCAATTGTATGGCATAACGTAAACTGGTGTCGGTGGCTATTTTTGTTAAAATTGTCAATGCATCCGGATGCATAAGGCAATCTTCTTCTTCACAACGTATTTTGAGAATTTCTTTCATTTCCTTCTCCGAATATGGTACGGTACGTATGATAATCATACGATCGAGTAAATCAATTGGTATACCATGGGGACTGCGATAATTTGTACCACGTATACGTGTAATGCCACGATTTGTAGCCATTACCACAACGGGAGCCATATCGGATTCGAGGGCACGATTCAAGAATGAGAAGCACTCAATGTCCAACATATGGACCTCATCAATGAACAAGACACCGGGATTAATTTCAGCTTTACCCTCTTCACGCCATTCCAATACTTTGTTATTGATTTGATCGCGAACTTCTTGTTTAATTTCACCAGTGTCACCGGAAAATAGTGCCAAGAAACCATGGGTACGGCTGTTGATGACATCGATTTCGTGCAGTGTTACAGTGTGAACAACTTCTTTCCGCTTTTGCAGTTCACCCTCGGGACACTGGACAAAGCGGGTCTGTGCTCCGGTGGCGTCGTAATCACGAGCACGTGTAAAACTACGTCCCAATTTCGATACCTTGCCCGATGCCTTATCAATGGTTATAACATCTCCAGCTTGAATTTTTTCTTTGATAAAGCATTCAATGATTTTGTTACCCAAATCATAATTGGTTTCCATTTCAGTTGTTTTCAAGGTTACCTAGGAGATAAACAATAATTTAATATTTATGTTTCAATAAATAAATCTATTTTAAACGAGCCGTGCCGAATTTCTATGTCCCTCCTTTGGTGTAAATTTCTGAACAGCCCTTGTAAGACAGACTTAAACCTTTAAATATTTTCACAAATTTCTCGCACTTACCTTTCCAATTTTTTGTCCCGTTCCTGTTGCTGGCCTATCGATTTGTATTTCCACCACTTCACCTTCGATAATTTCTGTCTCTTCCTTGATTCTCACCCCAATACTTTTTCGTAAAGCCTGTGACAATGCCTCTGTTTTGCTCATTTCCAATGAATAGATTTCAGATCCCGACATACTAGTAAACGGGGTCTCCGTACCCAATGCTTGGGCCATACCCACAGCAATAGCTGTCTTTCCCGTACTGGGTTCACCAGCCAACAGGATGCAACGGCCAGCAATTTTTCCTTCTCTCACCATTTGTACAACAACACCAGCAGCACGGCGGGCATCTTTTTGACCCACCATACCCTGTGAAACAGCTCTGGCTTCCAAGACATCATCGAGACCGAGACCGCGAATATGAGAATGTGCTCCGATACGTTCGATTCGTGTAATATCACGTACTTCAATTTTTTCACCATCCGCCATTGTTAATCGGTTATATATCGCGAAGAAGTGTTAATTCAAAATATCAGTTGTGATATTGTCGCTTTATTTTCTAGAAAGAAAATTTAATAAAATTGTTTATTTTCTTTCTATTCTTGTTGCTTGGAAACTCAATGAAACAAATGCCGGCCAACGAGTAAACGATTTGACATGTGGTTGCCAAAGTGACGCCGTTATTGTGTGTGAGTGTGCATTAGAAACACAATATATGTCAAACTTGGTAGTTTGCTCTCCACACTACACGACTTTGTAAAAAGTAAAAAAAAAACATACAATTAAACAAATATTTATAAATTTTGAATGATTTTATATTTAAAAAAAAATATTATTTGTATTTTTTTCATATTTCCCAACATCAAACATAGCTTTTTTATTGTATTCAATCAAAAAACAATCTCATTTAAACGCGAGAGTGGCCAACGCCGTTGCTTATTGAATTTAACGTCGTTACATGAAAATGCGCCTAGCCACTGATTTTAACTTTGTTTACATTCTAAACATTTTGTTTTTGTGTGAGATTTGTTTTAAATTCCACTTTATTGGTAATTTTATTCGATCCAATTTCATTTTTTAATTGAAAGTTTATTTTTGTATCACCATAAAATAAGAACAAACTCATGTGAGTTCATATGCTAACGGCGTTGTCTACGGAATTTAACGTCGTCACATGAAAAGCCGCATAGCCATTGATTTTAGTTTTATTTACTTTCTAAACTATTTGTTTTTGATGTTTTAAATTTATTTTTATTGGTAATTTATTAAGAAATATTTTTTAATTAATTGTTTAGTTGTTGTAATCCAAAATAAAAGGAAAATAAATGCTTTTGGGCGGCATTGAATTTCAATGCCGTTGCTTGTTGAATCTTAACGTCGTCACATAAAATGACGCATATACTTTGATTTATGCCTTTATTACTTTCTACACATTTTGTTTTGGGTGAGATTTTGTTTTATTTCCTCTTTATTAGTCATTTCATCCAGAAATATTTTTAATTCATAGTTTTGTTGTTGTACACCAAAATAAAAAGAAAATAAATTCTTTTGAGCGGCATTTTGAATTTCAACGCCGTTGCTTGTTGAAGCTTAATTAACGTCGTCACACAAAAAGCCGCATAGCCTTTGATTTATGCTTTGATTACTTTCTTCTAAACATTTTGTTTTGGGTGAGATTTTGTTTTTAATTGCTCTTTATTGGTCATTTTCTTTTATCCAGTGGTATATTTTTTTAATTGTTTTTATTTTCATCAGTTGCTGCCGCCGTAGTTGTTTTTTTAGTTATGGCCATTAATATACGCGATTGGCTGCCGCTGTTATTTTGTGGCCTTTCCATACCAATTTCCCTATTTATGTGGCTGGGAAATTCCTTTCTCTCAAAGCTATGGACAAATGAATTTGAAGGTATCAAAGGTATTTTGGGAATGTTTTGCAATAAAAATAATGTTTGTATAAAAAAATGTTTATCTTCCCCGTACGCCCAGTAGAATCTCCTGTTATACCGCCCACAAGATGGTTATTTTCAATACTGGCCCCATTTATGCTAATGGTGGTGGCATTAAAGAGAAAGTCAGTAAACAAGTCGGGTGCAGCATTGGGTATTATTGTGGCCATTATATTATCCATATCAAATCATGCTTTCTTTGCCAGCTTGGCGGTATTTTTCTTCACCTCATCGAGGGCAACGAAATTTCGTTCGCATATGAAACGTAAAATTGAAAAGGATTTTAAGGAAGGTAGGTGGGAAATTTTAATTTTTTTCTTGTTTTGATTTAATTTCTATGTGTGTGTTTTACAGGAGAGGGTCAACGCAGCTGGGTCCAGGTATTGTGCAATTCCGGCATGGCCACCCAATTGGCCATATTATATCTAATTGATGTGGGGAGTAGTGAGCGGACAATTGATTTTGTTCGTGCCTATAGAGCCAGTTGGCTGGGTATTGCAGTGATGGGTATGAGAGATGATAGAGTTTCTTTGTGTGTGTTTCAAAAACTATTTATTTTCTTTTAGCGGTTTTTGCCAGCTGCAATGGTGACACCTGGGCCAGTGAACTGGGCAGTGTCCTGTCGCGTAGTGATCCTTATCTCATTACAACATTTAAGAAGGTGCCGCGTGGTACAAATGGTGGTGTCTCCTTGATTGGTCTACTTGTAAGCTTTTTGGCTGGTGTTGTTGTGGGTGCGGCCTATTATATAACGGTGTATTTTACCGCTCCCGCCCATATGCATTTAGTGGCACCACCACAATGGCCCCTCATTTTATGGGGTGGCATTGCTGGCCTATTTGGCTCCCTTGTGGATTCTCTGCTCGGTGCCACACTACAATATTCGGGCATAGACGAGGAGGGGAAAATTGTTGATAGTCCCGCCAGCAATGTTCGATATATTAGTGGTTTACGTATTATTGATAATCATAGTGTCAATTTAATATCGAGCATTGTTACGGGTGTGTGTATACCTGTGGTGGCTATGAAATTTTGGCCAGAACGTTAATGAAAAAAATGACGAAATTTTTAAATATTTTTTAAACATCTCGAAAGTTTCTCGTTGTGGCAATGGTTTAGATTGTTAAATTTTTGTTGTAATAGTTACAGCATAATTTAACAGATTTACGAACAAGTCTTATACATTTGTAGGTGTATAAGAGAAAAAAAAAATAAAATACTGGATATTGTAATTGTGACTGAATGTAACTTTTGTGGACTTAATATACAATACTATGTTGTATGCCATTTTTTATTTTCCCGCATATTTGTATGTGTCGATGTGTATGAGAAAAAAAAAAAAAATAAATTTCAAAAAATTGCATTTTTGATTTTTTTTTGTGTAAGGGAGATACTCTTGGTCACCTTTACATTTATAAGTTATCTCACCCTAGATTCTTGAGGGGTGCTCCAATTTCCAATTGAGAAAAAAAAAACAATTTTGTCTTTTTATTTTATATTTAATTTTGAATGTTGTTTTTGTTGCATTGTAATTCTGATTAGACTGCTGGATTTATATATATCTATATTAGGGGGTTTTGAATCGTAATTTTTCTTTTAGCTTGGGTATACGTAGACATATGTTTTTTTGTTTTTATTACTCACGAGTACGCCTAGAATTTTAGAGAGAGATTGAGGGGCTAGTTAGGAGAAAAATAGGAAATACTTAAATAAAAAATTCACATTTTGAAAATCAAGTTTATAAAACTCGATCTTGAAAAAATTCAAATAATTAAATTTCCATATTGAGAGAGGGAGAATAAAAATATAGGAAAACTATTTCTACTTTAAAAAGCGGGGTTTGGATAAATTAAAAACACAATGAATGAAAGGAGAAGTGAGAAAAAAGAAAATAAATCGAATGGGAATCCTTAGAATTCACACATGACGACGCTGCTTAAGGTTCATTATTATGTTGCCGTTGCTGCTCCCGTTGTTGCAATGAGAATACCACTCCCAGTGGTAGCTAATCCATATCATCGTCATCATCATCCGATATGGTATATTTCTTCTGTGAACGTTTTCGCCGTGTCTGTTTTTTACTTGTCGAAGCACTAACGGACGCTGCCGCTGCGGAAGGTGTGGGCGTAGATGGTGTACTTGGGGCGGCAGCAACCGATTTATTTAGTTTCAGCTTCATTTTTACCGCTGCCGCTGAGGTTGTGGCAATTTCTTCATCATCGGAATTATCTTGGGTTTCCTCCTCTTCGTTTTCGGAATTATCAGATGCGCCGCCGCCACCACCTCCTCCACTATCGCCAGCCGAAGATGAAGCATGGGCAGCTGCTGCTGCAGTTATACGCTGCCTAGCATTAACAAACACCTTCTCCAGCTCAATCGAATCCAAATAGATGAGCGAATTCTCCTCGTTGTAGGTCTGGGCATTCTGACACAATTGCACGAAGTCCTTTTGCAGATCATCCAAATCGGCATATTTGCAATCTTCAATGCGTTGCAGTATTTTCTTAATGTCCACCGGACGTTTGATGATGTCATAGTAATCGGGCAGTCGCTGCCTGGAGGGTAATTTCATAAACGGTTCCGACAGAATGCGGCCGTCATCGTGCGTGTACTTGATGACGGCCGACATGATTTTGTTCATTTGCTTTTTCATTTTCTTGTCGATATTTTGGCGACGTCTGCGTTTAATGGTCTGGCCCACCACCGAGTCGTCATCGGAATCGTCTTTGCGATTTTTACGTTTACGCCTCTTACGTTTGGCCTCCTCCTCTTCGTCCTCTTCGTCGAACTCCACACCATCGTCGATGGCGCGCAGCAACTCTTTTTCGGTAAGGCTGTCGGTGTAGTCAACCTCCTTGCGTTGACGTGAGCCGCGACCTGAAACAAAAATCAAAATTAAATTCTAACCTCATCCTCCTCCATCCCATCCCATCATCTTACCCAATATGGTATCCTCATCATAGGTGTGCCAACGTTCAACCTCTTCATCGTCCTTGGTCAACCAATCGGGCAGCTCCGACTCATCAATCAAACGCTCACGTCCGGGATGCAGTCGCTCATCTTCCAGCTTCCTTTCCGCGTCCATTTTCTTGAACAACTCAATCTCTTCTTCGCTGCGACCAATCATCATATTGATCATTTCATCATCGGGCACCTCGTTCTCTTCCTCCTCATCGCCATCGTCGGCATGTAAAATGGTTTGCAAAAACTGCTGACGTTCACTGCCTGTCGATTTCTGATCGAACATACCGGCCTGAATAACCTTCTCGTCCATGTTCAGCTTGTAACGGGCCGCAGCCAAAATACGCTCCTCAACCGAATTCACCGTCATCAGACGTAGCACACGCACCTCGTTGCGCTGACCAATACGATGGGCACGATCCTGGGCCTGCAAATCTTGATGCGGATTCCAATCGGAATCGAAAATTACCACAGTATCGGCTGTTTGCAAATTTAAACCCAAACCACCGGCACGAGTTGACAGCAAGAACACGAAATAATCCGAATCCTTGGCATTGAACTTGCGCAGCAGTTCACCACGATCCTCTGCCTTGGTGGTACCGTCCAAACGCAAATATCCAAACTGACGCCAGCTAAGATAATCTTCGATGATGGTCATGCACTGGGTCATTTGACAGAAGAGCAAGACACGATGCCCGGTGGCCTTCAGCTTAGGCAAAATACGATCGAGTAGTTCAAATTTACCCGAAACACGGTATAGATCTGGACCCGACACCATGCCATGCACACCGGTATGGTCGCAGAATTTCTCCTCGATGTGTTGGAACATAAACGGATGATTGCAGAGTTTACGCAACTGTACAATCGTATTCATGAGGGCCTTGGCACCACCCTTGCCCTGTTTACCCTTCTCGGAGCCATCAGTGAGCAGCACTCCCTTACTCTGCATATGCTTGTAGAGCACCCTCTGCAAACCGGACATGTCACATTTAATGATGTATTCCACCTTGTCGGGCAGCTGATGTTCGACTTCCTTCTTCAAACGACGCAGCAGGAAGGGACGCAGCACCTTGTGCAGACGACGAATAATCAAAATGGTTTCTTCTTCATTCAATTCCACCTTTTCACCGGTTGTGGCGAAGGGGGCATTGAACCACTGTTCGAAAGTCGAGCATGACTTGAAAATCGAGGGCAAAAGGAAATTCAAAAGGGCCCACAATTCGGGCAGTTTATTTTGCAGTGGTGTACCGGTCAACAGCAGACGATACGGAGCAATGTAATGGGTATTTAAGACCTGTGTCAGCTTGCAGTGGTGATTCTTCATACGATGACCCTCATCGATGATCATGTATTTCCATTGGATCTTGGCCAACACCGCCTTATCTTTGATCACGTATTCGTAGGTGGTGAGCAGAACATTAAACTTGGTGGCCCTCATTTGATTTTGAAGCAGGCGACGACCATGCGGTGATCCCTTGTAGCTTACCACACCCACCGAGGGTGCCCATTTCTCAAATTCCAGTACCCAATTGGGCAGCGTGGACAGCGGTACAATAATCAGATACGGTCCCATCACCTTTTTGCGATCCATCAAATAGGTGACCAGCGAAATGGTTTGAATGGTCTTACCCAGACCCATCTCATCGGCCAGAATACCATTCAGATTGTTGTTGTACAACGAGACCAACCATTCGAGACCCTTGATTTGGTATTCCTTCAATTTGCCGTTGACCAAAATACTGGCCTGCTCGGTGACCTTTTCGTGTATGGTATGGGCAATGCTGTAATAGGTTTGCTCTTCCGTACGATATTCATCGTCCTCGACCTTGACTTTCTGGATCAAGGCCTTGACCTCCTCTTCGCTGCGAGGATCGTCCTCATTTTCCGTTCCCAATTTCTTGGAACCATCGGCATTTGTCTTCTCCTTGGCATTAGCCTCTTCTTTAGCCTTCTCTTCCTCCTTGACTTCTTCATCGTCCTCGGCCCAATCCCAGCCGGGATGCTGTTCCAACCATTTGCCTAAATTCTTCAAGAGGGGGCCCTCTTCGCCGGTCAATTTCTTACCCGTGGCCGTTTCGACCACGGTCACATGCAGATCGGCAGCAATACAGGTGTCGTCGATGCTCATGTATTCGCCGCTCATCAACAGCTCCTTTTTGTATTGCAGCAGACGTTTGTGCTCCTCCTCCTTCTTGCGCATTTGATCGTCCTTGTGCTGCTTGACCATCTGGGTCAGGTTGCTGATGTACTCGTCGGTCTGGGATAGCAGGAAGGCCAAACGTTTGTCTTTCTTTTGATCGATAAGTTTGCGATAGCCCTCCTCGTCCTCGGCCATCAAGCGGCGCATACGTTCCTTTTCGATGCGTTCCTGTTCCTTCTTTTGTTCCCTCTCCGCATTGGCGTGATAGTTCATGATGGCCTTATTGATTCTGGCCAGCTGGGCCTTGTTGTTGCGATGGTATTCCTTGAAGTCTTTGCCATGTTGGAGGACAGCTGCCAGGAACTCCTGGTGCTTCTGGCGACGTTTACGTTCCGCCTCGAGCTTCTGTTGTTTTTCCAACTTTTCGGTGGCACGGGCCTCACGTAGACCTTGACGTTTGGTACGTTTGTAGGCCTTGATGTTGACGGCCGTCTCCAAGGTGGTGTCACGTCTGGTACACTGGACAATTTCGGTTCTTAGCTGACGTTGGAAATTCAGAACGCGCAATGCCCTCAATTCGATGGCAGCCTGCAGGCGTAAATCTTCGGGCATTGTTGCCGGCAAGCGTTGTAATTCCTGCATGCGCAGGGCGATGCGTGATGCAATGCGATTTTCCCTTTCCTGCAAGAGGACAATGGGGTCTAAGCCCTGGGGCTTGGCAACGGTGGTAATGCGATTTGGTTTGGGCATTGGTTGTTGTGGTGGTGGGGCGCCATGTTTGGGTACACCTTGTGGTGGCATACCCACAACACCGGGACCGGGGGGTCGTATGCCCTGGGCGGCCATAGTTCCAGGCATGGGGGATGATATGGGTGGCTGACCGCCACCAATTCCCATCATCGGTGGACCACCAATACCCGGTGGTTTACCACCACCATTCGGCATTTGATGCATATCTTGGACATTTGGTGGTTGCGGCTGTTGTGGTGGACCTACCCCGATACCGGGTGGCATTTGTTGCTGTTGTTGGAGATGAGGTGGTGGTTGCATTTTACCACCACCAACAGCATTTGGTGGTTGGCCATATGGTGAAGAGGCTGGCGGTGTCGAACATTGTGGTGGTGTACCAGCCGCCGGTTGACCTGGTTGTTGGGGCGGCTGCTGCTGTTGGGGTGGTACTGGAGGACATGGTGCCGGACCTGGAACACCTGGATGTCCTGGTATGGTATTTGGCGGCTGTTGTTGTTGCTGCTGCTGTTGTTGTTGTTGCTGCTGTTGTTGTTGCTGCTGGGCAGCAGCGACAGCGGCCGCTTGCTGTTGTGCCGCCTGCTGGAATGCCTGTTGCATTTGCAGCGAAATGGGTTTATTGCGCGCCAACAGACGATATGCTGTTATTTGGGTGCGCAACATATTAATCTGATTACTGGTCAGGTGTTGATGTTTCGAGGTGGCCCTAATGGCCAGCAGTTGGGTATAGCGGGGATCTTCTTGCAGACCCTTTTCTTCCATTGTATCGATTGCCCGTTGCAGTGCATGCAAGTTTTCTTGTCCAGCACGTTCAGGCGGTGGACCGGGTGGACCTTGGCCTGGGGGGCCTGTGGGTGGACCCTAAAAGAAAAATAGAAAAAATGTAAAGTTAAAAATATTTTCAGAGGCCTGAGGATATTTTTTTTTAATACCGGTTCGGATTTAAAAAAAAATGAGAAGAGTTACAAAGGCTATGACGACATACATATACCCTGCCCCATGATAAGAGAGAGAACTTTAATAATAACAAAATAAAATAAAAAAACAAAATAAAAACCTGTTTCGGAATTCGAAGAGAAACAATTGCTGTTTTCTGTTTCAATTGCTGTTTTAAAAATCTTGTCAGTATTTGCAAAACATTGTTGGCATAAAGACGTCTAAAACGCAGCAACGGAGCAGAACAAAAAAACCCCAAGCCCGTCAGCCAGCCAGCAATTGCATTTTTGTTGTTGTTAATTATTTTGTGATTTTAATTATCTACAAAAAACAAGAAAAAACATGACCAGTCAAGCCATTATAAATGAATTGTATGATTTCATTTATCCACTGGCCTTGCGGGCCGGTGAAATCCTAATGGAAGGCTATAATAAAGCCTCCAAGTGTGTCAATATTAAAAGTGATTTCTATGATGTGGTCACCGATTATGATAATCGTATTGAGGAATTCTTATGGTCGGAAATTTTAAAAAAATATCCACAACATAAATTTATTGGCGAAGAGGATACGGCAAAAAATGATAATATCTGCAAGGAGTTGACAAATGATCCGACATGGATTATTGATCCCATCGATGGTACATCGAATTTTATTAAACAAATCCCGCATACATGTGTTTCCATTGGCTTGGCCATAAATAAAGAAATAGTGCTGGGTATTGTCAATACACCGGCTCAGGGTAAAATCTATACGACTAAATTGCATCAGGGAGCATTTTGTAATGGTCAACGGATCGGAGTTAGTCAATGTGAAAGGGTAAGAGAAACAAAGAAAAACAACACAATGCATCTTGCCTAAAGTTGAGGGAGGAATCTCGTTGCAGTTCGATATTTTTCGTTTCGCTTTGCAAAAAGTTTCGATGAGTTCTTTTGTTCACATTTGGAACTAGGTGGACGAGAGAACGAGAAAATGAACTAGATGAAGAATCGGATCGGTTCGTTTCTTTAGCATAATAGTTCCTTTGAATCGTCCAGCTCGTTCGCAACTTCGCAACCTCCTCAATTCGATTTCTTGAGATGTTCTGCATTTTTTTGTTCATAGATAATTATTTGAGCCAAATTTAAATAATTTTATTGCAGGTGAATGATGCAAATGTTGGCTATGAGGTCTCATTGTTACATGCCTCCAACATTCGGGATAAACATATTAAACGGATTTATTATATTGGGGCTCAATCAAGAAGGTAAGACACAACCAACGACCAGCATGTTATCTTTACGAGAATTGTAATTTACAATTCTCCTTTATGATCTGGGTAAATATGCGCCATAGAACCACACATAATATGAATTAAAAAGTGGGACATTTAATTATTGCCGTGATCAAATCAGCTGCTGCAAACAACGCATTTTTATTAGAATTTATTGCAGTTGGCTTATCAAAATTTATATATTATTTAGACACCGAGAATAGTTTATTGTGTTTTTTTTTTTATTTCAGATTACTTTCATATTCATGTGTTGTCGACTCGCTGTGTATGGTTGCTGCAGGTCATCTAGATGCTTATCATGTTGAGGACATGTATCCATGGGATTGTGCTGCCGGTTATTTGTTGATCAAAGAGGCTGGGGGTGTGGTAACACATCCATATGGCGGGACATTTGATATAATGAAACCCGATCTAATATGTGCCAGTACTGAGAAATTACGTGGCGAAATTGAAAGTCTAATACGTAAAGCAGATCAAACGAAGACTGTTGGAGGTGGGGAGGATGAAAAGTGAAAAAGAAGATTTTTTCAAGTATATTTTATAAATAAAACAATACATTCCGCCTTGCATATCCAGGGAATTTAAATCAAGTTAATCAAGTTTCAGAACTGGGATGTTTTTTTCTTTAAAAATTCAGTCCTTATAGCTGAGCTCGAATGGGATATTTTTTGTTACAAAATCCACGCCCTATTGCTGAGCTGGAATGGGTTATCTTTTATTTATAGCTGAGCTGTCCTGGGATATTTTTTTCTTCAAAAATTCACGCCTGGGATGGGATATTTTATTCTTTAAAAATCCACGCCTGGGATGGGATGTTTTATTCTTTTATTCTTCTCTTTATTATGGCATATTTTTGGTCTTTAAAAATTCACGACTGGGATTGGATATTTTGTTTTTTTTTTTTTCTTTAAAAATCCACGTGTTATAGCTGGGCTTTGATGGGATATTTTTTTCTTTAAAAATCCACCCCTTTAGCTGAGCTGTCCTGGGATATAAAATCCACCCCTTATAGCTGGGCTTGGATGGGATATTTTATTCCTATTTTCTGAGCTAAGCTGGGATATTTTTTTCTGAGCTGGCCTGGGATATTTTTTTCTTTAAAAATCCACAACTTACAACTGTGCTTGGATGGGATATTTTTTCTTTTTTCTGAGCTGGCCTGGGATATTGTTTTTTCTTTAAAAATCCACGCTATAAAGCTGAACTGAGCTGGGATATTTTTTTAAGAATCCACGCCTTACAGCTGAGCTGTGCTGGAATATTTTTTTAAGAATCCACGCCCTAAAGCTGAGCTGGAATTTTTTTCTTTAAAAATCCAAGACTTATAGCTGAACTGGGCTGGGATATTTTTCTTTTTCTGATCTGGGCTGGATTTTTTTTTTTCTTTAAAAATCCACGACTTATAGCTGAACTGGGCTGGGATATTTTTCTTTTTCTGATCTGGGCTGTTTTTTTTTTCTTTAAAAATCCATCCTTTTAGCTGAGCTCTCCTGGGATGTTTTGTTTTTCATTCAAAATCCACGCCTTATAGCTGAGCTGGGATGGGATATTTAATTCTTTAAAAATCCACGCCTTACAACAGAGCTGGGGGTGGGATGTTTTTTCTTTTAAAAAATGATTGATTGACTCATCGATTGCTAGATATGTGTATTGAGATCCTCGTCTAGAGCTAGTTCGTCTGCTTTTTCATTACAGTGTCCTAGCACTGCCGATAGCTACTACTCTGCTGTACACTCGAGGACGACCTTAGACTTCATGTTACAGGATTTGGTGGCTTTAAGAACAACCTGACTATCCACAAAGATAGTCACCGTTTCGACGATCTCTGTCATCTAGACTTTTTATCAGCTTCAGCTGCCTTCCAAATCGCGAATATTTCAGCTTGCTATACAACTTGTAAGTAAACTCAAGGCCTATCCTTTCACAGTAGACACCAGCCCCTGCTGTACCTTCTTTCATCTTGGATCCGTTTGTATAAAAGCCAGACCGTCCAGGCGAGGTTTCTACGGTTCCACAGTCGTCTCTTCTACTGGGGATAACGACCTCTACATCGGCAAATGCGTTGGTCTAATGTCATGCATAGTTCGTTTATGATACATCCATGGCCGTGGGTACAATTTCGCCATTTTGAGGACTTTCGAATTTTGATATTTTGAGGACTTTTGAACACAATTTCTAAATCGAATTGACTGTCATCTAACGAGAAACTAAAATGCCCAATTACAGCCAATTCGGTTTAAAAACCAAGTCCAAAATTCGTAAAACATCAAATAATAGGGATACCGTTATGTGGGGGCCTATACCTAAAATTTGAATATTTATAATTTTTGATAGTAAATTTAGCTATACAATGAGAATTTTTTATCTAAAGAGAAGGTAAACTACCAAACTATAGCCAAATCGGTTAAAAAAAGTGTCTAAGATATTTAAAAAAATAATTAGGGTTACCGTAATATGGGGCCTATACAAAAAAGTGGACCAATATTTATAATTTTTGGTAACGATTTGTGCTACCCAATGAGAACCCTAAATATTAAATTAAATAATTCCGAAAATCGGGGGGAATTTTTATATGGGCCGTTATTAATAATTTTTGGTAGTAAGGTTTGCTACCCAATGAGAACCAAAAATATCAAATTAGAGACGAATCGAAAGAAATCCGTCACGAAAATATTCACAATTCCGAAAATCGTGAGGATATTTTTATATGGGAGGTACACCAAAATATGGACCGATTTTTATATTTTTTGGTAGTAAGTTTTGCTACCTAATGAGAACCAAAAATATTAAATTAGAGCCGAATCGGAAGAAAACCGTCACGGAAATATTCATAATTCCGAAAATCGGGGGCAATAAGTAAACCGTCGGTCCACCTTTAGGTGTGACGAGACGCCCAAATTTGCAGGTTTTTTTCATATTGACAATTTGCCGCATTTCGTCCAACCGAACTATTTACTTTTTTTTAATTCTTAAGTTAAACAATGCATTTTTTCTGTTTACAATTTGATTCTTGATTTGAAAATCATCAATTGAAAATTTGAAGCTTTCCATTAAATTTTTGTCATCGTCGTAATAAAAAATAACAACAAAAAAATAAAAGAAACACAAATCAAAACAAAAGCTCTCATAGCGCACAATAGAGAAAGAGTAATATGATATATATTCAATAAATACGTATAGGGTTGCCATTGTGTAGAAATACTAAGAAATACTAAATTTTTAAAAAACTAATTTCAAAAATTGAGGAGATTACATTTTAAAATATTAATCTCATGATCGACGCTGCTTCTCCTCACCAACAACATGTATGTGTGTATCTTACATTTGGCAACCCTAATCACTATCGCTGTTCTACATATTTTATTAAATATTTTTTTTTTTTTCGTTTCGTTTGTTTCATTTTCCTCTCTCACTCTCTCTCTGTGCATCTATTGGTTGATTATTTCCTATTTCACGCTAGTTTATAAAGATTGCTCAAGCAAAGAAGGCGGACGACACCAGCCAGCCCTAACTACGTAACAAAGAAAACTTGTTATAGCAAACAAAAATAAATAAATAACTTGAAAAACGAAAACCAAAACAAACATTCCCAAAACATGTCTCCAGCACCCGTCGTTTCAGATGAACAATTGAAAATCTATTACGATGTTGCCTTGAGCTTGGTCATTAAATGTGGCCATGTAATGCGTGAAGGTTTCAATGCGAAGGCAACAAATTTTGAAGTCAAATCGGCATTTTATGATTTGGTTACCGTTTATGATAAACAAATTGAAGATTTACTAATTAAGGGACTGCAGGATGCCTTTCCCGAATCAAAAATTATTGGTGAAGAAGAATCGGCGGCGAGTAAGCGATTGGCTGAACTTACCGATGATTCAACATGGATTATAGATCCCATCGATGGTACAACAAATTTCATCAATAAAATTCCCCATTGTTGTATCTCGGTGGGATTGGCGATTAAGAAACAGCTGGTGGCTGGTATTGTCTATAATCCAATATTAAATGAAATGTTTTCGGCTTGGAAGGGTCATGGTGCGTATTTGAATGGTGAGCGGATACATGTTAGCAAGGTTAATTCGGTAAGTTGTGGAAAATTTGATTTTATTTCTTATCATCGTCATATGATTTTGTGATAATAGTCCCCAACCCCCATCCTACCACCATTACCATCTAATCTTTAAGGTTAAGGTTTTATTCTGAATTTTTTTTAGGCCAAGGCGATACAGCTTTGATATCTAGACAATGCGCTATGGGGATATGGTATTTGCCATGTCATATTTTCTGGCGTGTGTTTAGATTAAAACCATAAAGAATATAAACAGAAAAGTTTTGTAGAATGAAGTAGGGGTGTTGAAAAAACCTGACAGACGACCCTTCTCAAGGTTTTCTAATGCAAATGATAAAACGAAATCTGAAGTTGTGGAGAGGGAGTAGAAAAACCTGACAGACGACATTCAAAATTTTTCTAATGCAAATGATAAAACAAAATTTGAAGTTGTATTAGAAAATCGGACACTGGAAAAAATATGAAACTTTGGAGTTAAATTTGGGTTTGGTAAATTACAAAGAGAAAACTTCGCTAGAACATGTCGATTTGTTATACCCATGAAGTGGCATATTTCATTTCAGTCACTTCGGTTGGAAAAAACGCCTAAGACCTAAAAAAACATGTAAAAAATCGGCAAAATCGAAAGGTAAAGATGAACTAATGTTGACAATTTTCGGTAGAGACACTTACTACCCCATGATAACCCAGAATACCAAGTTACAGCCATTTCGGTTAAAAAATTAAACGAACATAAAAAAATTGGAGATTCGGTTATATTGGGGTTATACCAGAAAGTGGAACGATGTTTCTACCAAAACGGTAGAAAACTATCGACGAAATCCGCAAACTTCCGAAAATTAGGGGTATTTTTGTATGGGGGCTATATCAAGATATGGACCGATATTTATAATTTTTTGTGGGATGATTTCCCATCTAACGAGAACGTAAACTACCAAATTATAGCCAATTCGGTTTAAAAAAAAAGTGTCTAAAAACCTAAAAATATCAAAAAATAGGGGTACCGTTATGTGGGGGCTATACCTAAAAGTTGACCGATATTTATTATTTTTGGTAAGAAGTTGTGCTACCCAACGAGGACCCAAAATATTACATTACAGCCAAATCGATTGAACACCGGCCCTGAAATCTTCAAAATTCCGAAAATTAGGGATATTTTTGTATGGGAGCTATACTAACATATGGACCGATATTAATAATTTTTGGTAGTAAGGTTTACTACCCAATAAGAACCAAAAATATCAAATTAGAACCGAATCGGAAGAAACCGTCCCGGAAATATTCATAATTTCGAAAATCGGGGTATTTTTATATGGGAGCTATACCAATATCTGAACCGTTATTAATAATTTTTTGGTAAGAAAAAAATATTGACCGATATTTATAATTTTTGATAGGAAATTTTGCTACCCAATGAGAACCCATAATATAAAATTACAGCCAATTAGGCCGAAATAAAATCTTCAAAATACCAAAATTATCGGAAATAACTCCATCGTCTTAGAATTTAAGCTGGTTTTATAAGTTCGGAAATTAAAATTAACGCCATATTGGTGTTCGGTAAATTTCTTCATTTTCGAATAATTGAAGTTTCCGATTACTCGTTTTAGGGAAAATCAAGTTTTAGCTTTCCGAGGAAATTGGATATCATTTTCATTTTTTTTTTTAATTTTCAGATTAACAATGCCGTTGTGGCTCTTGAAGTATCGCTGATTCATGCTCCACGGGTTCGCGATAAAAATGTGAAACGTCTGGCGAAATTGGCATCAAATGCCACTGGGTAAATTTGGTTCTTTCAGAACAAGAATTTCATCGAAAAAAAAAATAATCTATAATGTCAAAAATTTTTTATTTGTATAGAACTCGTGGTATTGGCTGTGCTGCATTGACCCTATGCTATGTGGCCTGCGGCCGTTTTCAAACATTTCATGTTGAAGATTTACAACCATGGGATATTGCTGGCGGAGCTGTTATACTAACTGAAGCTGGTGGTGTTATAAAGCACACTAAAGGTGGCAATTTTGATATTATGAAACCTGACTTGATATGTGCCTGTACCGAGGAACTTTTAAAAGATGTGCAACAGTTGATAGCCGAAGCCGATCAAATTACTGAATTTGAATTTAAATAAATAAAATATGTTTTGTAGAATGTTGTAAATAAATAGGATATAGTTATTAAAGAATTCGATTTTTTTTTACTTACATTTGGTGGCATGCCATGTTGGAAACCCATTGGTGGCATATTGGGACCTTGAGGTGGCATTTGCATACCCATGTGGGGACCTTTAAAAATAAACAACAAAAAGTAAAAAAAAAACAAAACATTGCAATTTAAAATAATGTTCACCTACCCATTGGTTGATGATGTGGTGGCATATGATGGCCCTGGGGACCGGGTGGGCCTTGACCAGGCGGACCATTGAGATGGGGTGGCGCACCTTGACCACCCGGCTGCTGTTGTGGTACTCCATGCGGTGGTACACCATGAGGCCCGTGATTCATGGGAGGCCCTTGTGGTGGACCACCTTGTGCTCCTGGCGGTCCATGTTGGCCGGGAGGTGGAGGACCATGTTGTGACACAACACCGTGCTGTTGTGTTGACATTGGACCATGTTGGGGAGCTCCATGAGGCGGGCCGTGTGGTGGACCATGTTGCATGGGATGACCATATGGAGCACCGGGGTGACCAGGTGGCGGTGGGCCATGTTGTCCTGGTCCCGGTGGAGGTCCCTGCATATGTGGTGGACCATGGGGCGGACCTTGTGGTGGACCATGCGGAGGTCCTTGTGGTGGACCACTAGGCCCTTGTGGTGGACCCGGTGGCCCACCGGGGCCCTGTTGTCCCGGATGTGGTGGATACGGACTGTGTGGTGATGGCGAGGGTGCCGGACTTTGTGAAGGTGGTCCCATTGGGCTTGGTGCCTGTGGTGGTGGCATTGGACTATTCGCCGGCGATGGCGAAGTCATTTTGTAACTCAATTTTTCACCGTTTTTAAGCCACAAATATTCTTAAAATCACTTTATTCTTTACCGCAACGAGAAAAAAGAATAATTGATGTAATTGTGTTGTTGTACCACACGCACACATACACACAAAAATACAATACACCGCCGCAATGGCTTCGTCGTTCGGTTTTTTTACACAATTTTATGCCGTTTTTTCCATATATTTTCTTCTTTATCACAACTTTAGAGGGTATGTTATGGATTTATAATACTTGTTAGTGGATTTTTATTGGTTTTAAATAATTTTCTTCTTGTTAAATATGCAAAAAATTACAGCAACGACACAAACACGACAAAACGACGCGAGTTCAAAGTTAAAAGCCGTCGTAAAAAAACGACAACGGCGTTAAACTATATTATCGCGGCGTTGGCAATGCATACATGTTTAACCCACTACAGGCAATAGGGTGTGTTTGTATCAAATGCGTTAAAGGAAAAATTGACATTATACGCCTATTTACATTGAATAAAATATCCAATAAATGAAAATCAGTTGATATACCAAAGCTGCTATATAATTTAATTGTTTATATGTCAACAAAATTAAAAAAAAAATATATATCTGTCGTTTTATTCATCGTTCGATGTTAGGCTACATTTACACCAAACGTGTTTTAAAATAAATAATCATTAAAATTTTAGTAAAAAAAATTCCGAGTAAATGCATTCTGTCAGTTTTTTCTATACACACAATTTGCTTTTGTATGTCCCAATTTAGATTAGACGAGTTTACTTGCGGTATGTATTCGTTTGCAGGAGACAGGTTTTAAGGGGAATAGAAATGGAAAAAAATTGCTCATACCGACAATTTTCTGGCAATTCGTTTTGTGTTTTTGTTTGTAGTGTCATTTCAGAAAAAAATAATTCAATTCAGAAAATATATGTTTGCAACCGAATTGCCTTGTATAGACGCATGAAGCAAGAGAACGATAAGAATTGCCGCAAGTAAACTCGCCTAATCTAACCCTTATTAACCCTTTGTGCCCCGATTTTTTTCCGTGATCATATAACAATTTACAGATTGCAGATTTAATGCTACTATCCTAAATAGGATATGAACATCTTGCATTTCTTGCATTCTTTCAGAAAAATAAAAGACCGTATCAAGAAACCCAAATTCAAAATCGATGGAAAAATAATTTTAAATTAATCTCTATATTCTTTTTTACAAGAATCAAAAATAATTATGATGACCGAATTCATAAAATTAGTACTGTACATATGTACAATGTAACAGTACATATGACATGGATCGTGATGGAACACGCCACCTTGAGAAAAAATTGTAATCAGTTGGTAGCCGTGCCCTACGTTGTAATAATTATACCATGCTATAAACTGCTATGTACGCTTTTCTTTAAGGTATACCCACACATGTTAATGTGACGGCGTTGCAGTATGGCAACTTCATATTTTAAATAGGCAAATAAGAGCCAAAAATCGATCTACACAACTCTGGTGTAAACCAACCCCCAAGAGAAGAAAAAAACTTAGGTTCATATCTATTTTCATATAGAAAAAATTAAATAAATTCAATAAAAATTTAATATTTTATGTATTTTTAGATACACAATTTGTTATACAACATCAGAGGAACTAAATAAAAAACGGGAACGGAATAACACTACAAATAAAGGTTACACAGAAGTGGGTCACACACACTTTGTTACCGGGAGTGTAGTTCTGGAAGGCACACATAGTCCCTAAACACAATAAAAATAAAAAATGGCCATACGTTTTGATGCATTGAAAACCAAACATCAACTATTCCATGTCTCTATTAGTTTGGGTGTCATACTAATATGTATGACTTATATGCAATATCGACGAAATTGGACACATTTGGGTAGCTTTTGGGATTCACTAATTATACCCATTGTGTTCACGGGTGAAATGCTGAAGGTAATCTTGTGCTTCTACTATGGCCGTTTGGAGGATGCTACATTGACACAGAAACAAAAACAACGTAAGGCATCATATTTTACACCCAAAGATTTGGCATCGGGATTGCTGTTGCAATTCCTGTGCACCGTGTTATATGGATTTATATGTATTATCTTGGGAGCACCGGTCTTGCAGAATTATGAACAAACATTTGTTCTGTCGTTGCTGTTAACGCTGCTATCGGTGTCGCCAACGGTATTTTTGTTGGGCGGTGGTGGTGCCCTACAGGTGTGGTTTTGTGAGAAACCCGATTTCCTTACCAAAACCGAAGAGACGGCATTGAATCTATTTAAATATAATGCATTGGGTGGTATTTTGGGTGCATGGGCCGGGTCGATTGTTTCACCGTTGGATTGGGATCGTGATTGGCAAACGTATCCCATACCGAATGTTGTGGGCGCCCTAATGGGCAGTGCATTGGGTAATATTGGTGAGTTGTGCGGTGTTTCTTTTTTGTAATATGAGTTGGATTAATTGTTTTTATTTTGCAGTGGCCTGTACCCGTGTCCTGTATGCCACATTTAAGGTGTATATGAGCAAGAAACGTTCATAAGGCAGCTAGGTGAAATCATCAACACTACATACTTTTGAGCGGTTTATGCGGAATTCAAATTTCTTGATTTTATGTTTGTGTCTTTTTTGTTTTTAAACCTAGTCATAGTTAATGTCCTCAAAGAAAAACAAACTATTTTTTTTTTTGTTTAAGTAATGTTTTGCAACTTAAGGCACAAATTTTGTAGCATGGTCTCAAAATTATCTACATTATAAAAATTTGAAAAAATGTGTATTCCCCTACTATTTTTTGGGAAAGGGAATTACACATTTTTTCAAAAATATTTTATAATATAGATGAATACTTGCCCATTTTCTTTTTATTTTAGAAAAAAAAAACTAATTTGTTTCCATTTTAACGACTATCATTGACCAAAGAATTAAAAAAATACATTTTCAACGTTGAAACAATTTTTTTTTGTTTTTGTCATTTTTTTGAATAGAAATACAATTAACCTTTATTGTTAACTTATACACAATAATGGAATATATGGGGGGCTTCTAAGTTATTGCAACAACATTTTTATTAGGCCTTACCTGCTAACAAAAACCCTTCATCTTCTAGTAAACATCTCTGGCCGACATACATTTCATTGGGTTCCCAAAAATCATCCGTATCGTCATCATCTTCGCCGGCCGTCCCCGTCACATCACCAAATGGCAAATAACGTTCAATTGTTGTTGCCGCCTTATCTCCCATTTCCACCATATTGGCCAATAATATCCTATTGATTTCCATTGGATGTTTATCACAAAATTGTTGTATATTTAAGTGTTGCTGCTGATCCCGATCCATCTGGCTTTTGAATTGTTTAATTTCATCGGTTTGCAATGGACATGAACGCCTTTCGTATATGGTTTTCAATTGGATAAAATGTTGACCATATGCCTGACGTTGTATGGAATTTTGTACAATAGCTGCTGTCCAGCAGATAGCCACTGTAGTATGTGGTTCATATGAGGCCACAATGTTATTGAATTCTTCTGTGGTGATACTGGCATTAAAGTACACGGTTTCATGATTGGCCAGGAAACTATATAATTCAAACATTTTTGGTATATTATGTTCAAGTTGCTGTTGTTGTGCGGTGGTGGTTGGCTGCATTTGCAAATGGGAGAGACGTGATTTAAGTAAATTTTCCGGTAATGGTTTATTTTGTGATTCACTGCTGTTGGGTATTAGGCGACATTGGTAACTGGCCGTTTTGCTGGGTTTTAAACAATTTTCTGGAAATAATTCCAATGTATTATTTTTTATTTTTAATTTAAAAAATGGTTTTTATTTCTAAACTTACCTCCAAGCAAACCCGAAGAAATTTCCATACGATTAATGGCTGGAAGAGGAAAACAAGGCAAAACAAAATTTATTTTGTATGGCCGATTTCTTTATAATCTCTAACCACTATGTGGAGGCAAAAAGGATCTGGGAGAATTTTTATTCTTCCCAATGCAGTCCTTTTGAAACCAACGACATGTCTCCATCTATTCAACAATTTGGCTATATATAATGTAATATGAAGAAGAAGCATTGTAGTCAGCTGAGCATGGTTATACTTCTTATTCTTGTTACGTTTCTTTTATTATACATTTTTGGCGGTCGAAAAGGGACGTTTTTTATTTTTGAAAACGAAATTTTAAAGTGTTTAAATGCGAATGGAGAATAAATTCAATTAATTATTGAAGAAAAATGCAGTGTTTTGCATTGCTTTCGTCGAGTATTATGGCGACATGTCTCCTTGTATTGTCTTGTCTACATTTCATGTAATAGGAAGAAGAAGCATTGTTTACGTTAACAGCCAGCTGAGCATTCTTATGCTTCTTCTTGGTTTTGTTAATTTTCGGTTATTACAAATAAATTTTGGCGGCATTAGAAAGATGTTTTGTTAAAAAGGCGAATTAAAAATAAAAAAATACATGTCAGTTAAAAAGGTCAGTTACCCAAAAATCCCTGCAAGTCAGTAGTGATTTACTATTAACATTCCCTACAGGGCAAGTACTTTGTCATTGTTTATACACTTACCATATAGCTTATCCTTATTTAGCTGGAATTTTTCACAATACATGGCCAGCGTATTGACATACAATTCCGCCATTAGGGGATGATGCATTTTATTTTCATTGCGGACCTCCAGATTAATACCCAATTCACCATTTGCCGAATTACTGAGGACACATGCGGCTTCGGCATGTAAACCATCGTGTATATTAAATTGCCATTTGTGACGGACCAAACGATATTTCAAAAAATTACCACCAGCAGCAGAGCTTTCTGACGGCAGGGCATAATAGAATAATAAACGCAACGTAAATTCACCCTTTTCATAGGGTGCTTGTAGCCACACAGTTAGAGTGGTGGAATCTTGAGCCTTCAAAGCCGGTGTGGGTTTATTTCTAAATAAACGGAATACATGTTGTTGGCGGATTTCTTTGTCTTTGACCAATTTTTCATTGGACAAGTCCTTGATGGCTGCAATGTTAGTGAGAGGTTAATTAATGAAATAAAAAAAAATTGTTATTGTTGTTGGTTCAACTTACAACTCATCAGCGACAATGGTATCTTATCGTCCTTATCCTGCAGCGTTAGCCAACGTGGATTGTCACAACCCAAATAGATTTCTTCAATGGGTTTAATGTTTTCATTGCGGAACGATACGGTAAGGGGTATTATTTCCCCGGCCAATAAATCACTGGGTATGGCCGAAAAGCTAACACTCAACGATGGCAGGGTGGGTATGATTCGCACATTTAGTTTCTGATCAAATGCAGGTGGCTTATTGCCAGCGGCCCTCAATATTTGTGTTTCAAATTGTAATGAACCCAAGAGAGCGGCATTGGGTTCGACGGCCGATGCCACCTGGCCCACAATACCAACAATTGTAAGGCGCCCTGTTAGTTTGGGTGTCAATTTAAAATACAGCGTCTGTGAAGCTTTTTCATCCAATTGTACAGATTGCGGTGGGCCGGATTTGATGGCGGCCTTAACAGCTGTGGTGTCTGGAAAAAAGGAAATAAACGAACAAAAAATTGTATTTAAATTGGAAAGATAATCACAAAAGATACATAATTAAATTTTATGCAAATCGGTTTAAATTTAGCATTGGGTCCCGCAAATAAATTCGACCGATTTAGTGTACATGGGGCATTAAATGGTTCGATTTATACGAAATTTTGCATAGGCTACCAAATTGAGTCTAAAATGAAGTATGACAAGTTTGATTTAAATCGGTTCAGATTTTGCTGTAGATCCCATATATAACTTCGACCGATTTAGTGTTTAAAGGGGCACCAACTGCTTCGATTGACATGAAAACTTGCATAGGCTAGCGAATTGAGTGTAAAATGAAGTAAGTCAAGTTTGCGTTAAATCGGTTCAGATTTTGCTATAGATCCCTTATATAACTTCGACCGATTTAGTATAAATGGGGCACCAAATGGTTGATTGACATGAAATTTTGCATAGACTACGGAATTAAGTTTAGGATATCGTACGATAAGATTGTAGTGAATCGATTCAGATTTTGCTATAGGTTCCATACATAACTTCGTCGGATTTTATGTTTTTGACGCACCAAAAGATTCGATTGTCACGAAATCCTGCATGTGCCACCAAATGAGGTATGGAATTACGTATGTCAAGTTTGCTTAAAATCGGTTCAGATTTAGTATCAGGTCCCATACATACCTTCGCCAGATTTCGTGTAAATAGTGCACCAAATGGTTCGAAATTTTGCATGGATTACTGAATTGAGTCTAAAATCAAGAATGTCAAGTTTGATTTAAATCGGTTAAGATTTACTTAATGGTTCCATAGATAACTTCGATTGATTTTTGTGCAAATGGGGCACCAAATTGTTCGATTGACGTGAAATTTTGTATAGACAATTGAATTGGGTATAGAATTACGTATGTCAACTTTGGTTTAAATCAGTTCAGGTCTAGCTATAGGTCCCACATAATTTCAACCTATCATTTGATCCTTTCGTTACTAGTTTTTTGCTGTTGTTCTTTCTTAAGAAACTTACTTAGATTTTCCGTTGTCGATTCATACAGGCACATATTATTCAGCTCCTCATCATTGTCCAATTTAAGACGCCACAAAAGTTCAGCATTACTGAATATTATGCCACAGCCAATGGTGTTGGTTATGGTCACCGATAATTCAATGGGTTCTGAAAACAAAAAATTACACTTTAATACCTCCTGCTATAGAATGTTGCGTAACTTACCTCCTTGCACTGCCAATGGTGATTCCAGTGTTGGATTTTCTTTGGTAAATAAACTACGTGATGGTTTAAATACCAATGGTTTATTTGCCGAGGCTGTGGTCACAATCATTTCCTCCAATTTATGCCAAATCGATTCATCGCTTAAATCAGTCTTTACATCAGGGGGGAGAGGTTAGTTCGGACATTAACAATTTTATATAAATTTTTTTACTTACATTAATGTCAATATTTGTGGCTGGTATATAATGGGGTGTAACCACAGTGGGTGGTGATAATGTCAATACCTTAATGGAATCTTGGACTACTTGTGGCAATGCATGTGGTATTAAACCCATTTCAGGGTGGCGTTTAACAAATTCCTAAGAAATAATTATTAATTATTATTAAAAATTAAATTTTTCAAAATTAAAAGGAAAGAAGAAGTTTTAGAATTGGGAAAAATACCAAGAGAAAGGGAAGGGGGTTAATAGTCATTGATTTGAGGAAATTATAATCCATGTTTTTAAATTTATAGTCTTGAAGGTTATGCCTTTAATTTTGGTAGATTCAACGGTCCTAACTGCTTGGAGTAGTTCCAATTTATGGTCTACCCATAGAAGACAAAATAAAATTGAAATTTAAATAAAGGAAAACTTTGAAAGAAAAATTGATGGACTTGTACTCTCATCTGAAATTCTCTTATTTTCCGATCAATGACTATCAATTCCCACTATTCTCAATTCCAGTTCTACCCACATTTTGCGTTTGTATAAACTCTTTTAAAAAACTCAATTGTTGTTGGCCATTTTGCAAACTACCCGGCCTTAGCAGATGGGCAAACGAACGACTGGCCTCTTCCAATTTCTTCAACATATACGCCTGTTTGGCCATTGTATACTGGATATGATCTTCGGCCAGACTCCAACCCTTTTGCTGGAACACCTGATAGGCCTGAGCATAACAACGATAGGCATGTTTACGTTGACCGGCACGAGAATAACGATTGCCAGATAAGACAATTTGAAAGGCATAGGTACGATACATGGCTGGTGTAGAGTTCAAAAAGCAATAGGCCGCCTGTTCCAATAGCAGGGCCGAACGCAAATCTGATTCTTCACTAGTCATACGTATTAATTGTTTAGCTGCTTCACCGTATAATCGTGCCGTTTTTAAACATTCCATGCTCAGGAGAGTGGCCCGGGTGGCAAATTGTTGTAATCTGGGGAAGAAGACCGGAATTAATTATAATATTATTAAATCGATTTTAGGGTATACATACTTGCAGGTATTCAAATAGCAAACAATTGCATCCTCCATATAATCATAGGTTTTGCGATTGGCCGTTCCCAACATAAAGGCTGAGAGGGCAGCCATTTCTAAAGCTCCAGCATAATACTGCCAAGCCGAGTCGGCATTGAAATCGCGCTTGGCTTGATGATAGGCCTGAAAGGCCATATTGTAATGGCCAAACATAAAATAGAGATCACCCAGTTTGCGGGTCTGTAACTCGGCCGATTCATGGGTATATCTATGAAAGAGGGGAAAAAATTAAAAAATAGATTAATGAAAGAGGTCTCAAAATCCAATGAATACATTAAGCAATTTTACAACGTAGGTGAAAGAGGTGAAGGCTTGATGTTCCCCTCAATACTTTCACCTAAACTTGAGATGTTTCAAATTCCCAAAGAAAAAATCACAACTTAGACTTACATAACAGCATTTTGATTACTGGCACTTGCACCGGGTTTACTGGTTACAAACCAACGTTTGGTGGCACTGAGCAATGACTTACTCACACCCTTTTTGTTGGTGACCTAATAAATTGAAAAAAAATCCCGATTAGTTTTAGTCAACTCCCTATGCTATTATGTTGAGTGCCTTACCGCTTCCGTTAATATGCCCACCAAACGCTCGACATAGGGTATTAATGCCCTTACCGCATAATCCTGTACAAAATGTTTGATATTCTCCACATCCATGGCATTTAAACACTGGCCATGTGGCGCATCAAAATCACCCATCCATACATTTGGATTAATGGTTTGTGAGGCAATGCTTTCACTACTTATGGAAAATTTAGAATTCTAGGGGGAAAAATTGAAATTAAAATAAAATATTTGCCTTTAAGCCAAATCCAACAACTTACTATGGCCTCTGTGGCATTTTCTTGTACCGGACTTAGGGGATGTAATATGCTTCCCATATCAGCAGCACCAGCACCACTGCTGCTGCTGCTGGTCATCTCTGTTGTGCTGTTGACAGCCTCACTAAGCAAAGACATTTGCATAGCAGGCATGGCAATGCTTGATACACCATCTTGTGGTGTTTTATGACCACTCAATGGATCACCAAGACTACCACCACCACCAGCACTTTGACCCGACTCACCCGTTTTGGGTTGCCGTTTTAGAAATGGTGTCCAATAATCGGGCACCTCACCACCCCCACCCACATGGACATCCATGGAATTCAATTGTATGAGGAAGCATTTTGCATCACCAAAAGTTGATTTGAGCATTTCATAGCCCTGTTGAGCTTTGGACAAATCACCCTGAGTACCGCCTTCGTGTAGTACCACATAACTATTGAGAACATCTGCCGATTGAAACCATTTGGGTAATTTTTGTGCCGGTGTTATGCTCTGCATTTGATGGACACGTTGCGATAGTTTGTGGGCGGTTTCTACAATATTCGGTTCACTGCTGGACAAGACGATAAGACAGCTTAACAGATGCCTGGTGAATTCATGATCAGCTGGGAATTGCACCGTTAAAAATGTTTCACGCCAATTTTCAAACCATGGCTCATATGTGGGCACTTCAAGAGTGATATCGGATAAATGTAAAATTTTCGTTTTATCATTGTGGGCATTTGTCACCGATTCATTGAGCATTTTACGGGCCAGCACCGTTTGTGGTGGCCTCCAGTCGACATCGCAAAAATTCAAACGCAGGCCACGTATGGACACACTGGTGCCCGTCACATCACGAAAGTGGGCTAAACATCAATTCAAAGGGAAAAGGAATTAATAAGGAATAAATTTCCCTCTTACCCATTTGCTTACTTACCATCATTTTGCAATTTGGCAAAGGGTTGCAACAATTCCGCAAACGACAAATTATTACGGTGACACACCTCATCTGCATGGGGACTACACAATACACCAATCAATGGTGAGAATATATTTTGCACTATATCACGAGAATTGTAATTTTGTCCAGTTAAATGGATCATGTTTTTATTTGTCGTAGTCGGCGGTGTTGTTGTATTTGTAATAAATTAAAACAAAAATCCCGAAAAACAAATATCTTTTCACCAGCCAAGTTTTTTCTTTGACCTGCAACAACAACAACTTTGTTTTATTTTGACAATTATCTTCATAGGAAAGAGAGAGAGTTTCAAATCAGCTGATTGATTAGTTAGTACTGCTATTATAACGGCGTATGGCAAAAGGCTTGCCCCGAGTCAATTGGTTACTGTGGAAGCCGTTAAATACAAAGCGGCGTTGGGTTCAAATTAATTTTTTTTTATTTATTTAATTGTTAATTTATGGATAAAACAATCGAGATTATGTTATTTATTTATTTAATTTAATAAACAATTATAAACAGACAGTAAAACCATTGCCTTATCATTGGGGAAGAGAGAGAGGGAGTAAAATCAGTTGTTTGATTAGTGAGTACTGCTATTGTAACGGCGTATAACAAAAGGCAGGCACAGAGTCAATTGGTTACTGTTGAAGCCGTTAAATTCAAAGCGCCGTTGTGCTTAATTTAATTGATTTTTTTATTTATTTAATTTTTAATTAATAAATAAAACAATCGAGAGTCTGTTATTTATTTTTTTGTAATTTATTTAATAAACAATTATCTAGAGACAGTAAAATCATTACCTCAACCATTAGGGAAGAGAGAGAGCCAAATCAGCTGCTTGATAACGGCGTATGGCAAAAGGCATGGCCAGAGTCCATTGGTCACAGTTGAAGCCGTTAAATACAAAGCGCCGTTGGGTTTAAATTAATTTTTGTTTTATTATTTTTATTTCTTCAGGTATTAGTGATTATGATTTATGGATGTGGAGAAAATATTTAAACAGTTTATATAGTATTATGTTGTAAGGGCATTAATACCTTATGTCGAACGTGTTGTGGCCTTACTAACGGTAAGGCGAGATAATACTCATCCCGAACTAAATCTCAGCCTGTTCTAGAGGTGGCTTTTCACCACAAAAAGTCCAAGAAGAAGAAAAATTAAAATACAATTATTCAAAATATTATGTATTTTTTATTTATTTGAAATGTTTTATATATTTATATATATTAGGGTTCTTCAGCCCACACTAATTTTATGCACGAATACCAAAAAAATCATTTGTTTTTTGTTTGTTTGGTTTTTCTAAAAGTAGTTGTTGCAGCGAAACATTTTATTCGAAATAAAATTATTTTGTTGTTTTTTAAATACACAATACTAAGACTACTACAAATAGATATGAATCTTATCGGTAATTGTTTTTCATTAATTTTTTTTGTAAAAATATTCTTGCACAATTTGTGCAACGCATACACACACGCACAATCATCATAATAAATTGTCTGGTCTTTTAGTTATTATTATTAAAAAATTGTTTGTTTTTTTATTAATAAATGTACGTATTGTAAAATGTTATGTTTCAAGCCTATTGTGAAAGATGTATGTATGTACGTATATATTATATATTTGTTGTTTATATATGTATGTATATAAGTGTTTTTCCAGTTATTGTAATAAAAAGATAGAACTACAAATTTCTTAATTTCCTCCTACATTAGATGTATTGTTAGCCGATAACTGACCCGGTACTGAGAATTGTGGTCGGAAATTGCCAAAGTTTGCAGCTGGTCCACCAGCAAAGGCTGGCAGTGTTGTTCCTTGAAATCCGGCAGGGAATTGTGGCATCAATTGAGCTAAAAAAGAAAAATTGAAAAAAAATCAATTTTTATTTTTCAATTAAAAAAATTTAAGAAAATTATGGATATTATTAAATGACAATTATATGGTATAAATAATGGGGGCACAGATTCCTAATAGTGAAAATAGTGAAATAGAATATTTCTTTCATTGGTACCAACCAACCCTCCAATGTGATGTTTTGATCATAAAATTGGCTCAAACAAAAATAACCTCAAAATGGAAAAAAATCCGTAATTGTATATAATTTAATAATACATTTTTTAGGATATATATTATATATACAGATGTGTATTGTTCGGAGACTTATATTGAAATTTGATGTAGAATATTTCCTCTATTGATACCAACTCCAAAATATCACGTTTTGAGCATGAAATATGCCCAAACTAAAATAACCTTAAAAATGGAAAATTCCGCCATTATATATAATATGATAGGTAATTTTTAATGGCATATATTATAGCTACGGACTTCGTTTGTTTGGGGGCTAAATTTTCTGTAGAATATTTCCTCCATTGATACCAACTCACTACAATCATGTCTTGAGGATGAAATTGACGCAAATGAAAACAACTTTAAAAAAATTGACAAATCCGCCATTATACACAATTTGATAGGTCATTTTTTTCAGATATATTATATCTACGGACTTCGTTTGTTCGGAGACTTATATTGAAATTTGATGTAGAATATTTCCTCCACTGATACCAACTCACTACAATCATGTCTTGAGCATGAAATTGGCGCAAATGAAAATAACCTTAAAATGGACAAATCCGCCATTATACACAATTTGATAGGTTTTTTTTCAGATATACTATATCTGCGGACTCATTTTGTTCGGAGACTTATATTGAAATATGATGCAGAATATTTCCTCCATTGATACCAACTTACTAAAATCATGCCTTAAGCATGAAATTGGCGCAAATGAAAATAACTTTAAATACTACGAAAATCCGATATTTATACTCATAACTAATAGCATATATAGTGGACCTAGAGATTTATTTTGTTCCAGACCTAAAAGCTCTTTACCTGCATTATTAACATTTCCAGCTGTGGCGGCCAAACGCGACAATATCGATCTCTCGGACATTTGTAGGCGTTGCGCCACCGGTGGTATTCTGGCCAATGTGGCTGGCAGCCGTGACACATCGCTTTTCATATCCGACAACAGTTCCTCCAACTGATTGAGTACCTTGTGGAGTACAGCATTTGCCGGTTTATTGCCGGCCAATGATTCTTTACTCAAATGCTGATGGGATTCGGCGAGACATTCAACTTCAGCGAATCGGGCATTCAGCGACATTGCCGGATGTGTGGGATCTTGGGCAAGATTTAGGAATGCCGCGCGACGCAATTGCTCCTCAATAACCAGCGACTGCTCGAGCAGCTTAAAACGACGAGCTAAGAACTTGTTTTTAATTTCCAAGAAGTTACCCTTACCGACGTCCATTTTGAATGGTTCATTGATAATGGCAAAGCGAATATCGTTCTGAATATCCTGCCAGCGGCCATAGCCATGCGTGACAATACCGGCCAGCAGCCAATAGTCATGACGACGATGCCATATTTCATATTCACGGCCCGGAACGGCGGCTTTCTCTTCGTTCAGCCACAAGGTGTGTAATTCGGTGAATCCGCCATCGGCAATGTTGAACATAAATTTACGTTTTAGTACCTCCAGACTTTCTTCGATTTTCGGTTTGCTTAAGCCACCTTCTTTGTTGTCTTTATTTTCGGATGCAGCGGCGGCGGCGGCTGCGGCAGCTTTGTGGGCACTTTGAGAAGGTTTCTCAACTTCACCATCATCTTTGATGATCAGCACATCATCGTCATCATCATCAATGATTTCGGTGGTGGTGGTTTTGTTGTCATCCTCTTTGGCCTTTTCATCCTTAGTATCCTTTTCGTTTTTAACCTCAACACCACCACCTTCGCTAGACTCTTTTTTAACATCGCCGCTGGTGTCGGGTTTTTCATCTTTAATACCCTCCTTGCTGTCGGCGGCCGTTTCCTTATCCTTTTCGCCAGCTTCTTTTTTGACCGTTTCATTGGAATCTGCAGCAGATATATCTGGTTTTTCTTCTTTTTTATCCACCTCCTCTGCGGATTTCTTATCATCGGCCCCATCTCCGGTGGCTTCTTTTTTGATGTCATCATTACCCGTCGTTGTTGAGGGTTTGGTATCTTCCGATTTGTCAGCGGGGGCTGGGCTTGGAGCCGCACTTGTAGCTGGTGTTGCACTTGTGCTTGTGGTAGCACTTTTATCCTCGGGTTTAGCTCCACTCGCTGCTGCAGCACCCTCAACCGAACCACCTTCTTCCTTTTGCTGTGATTTAACCGGTTCGCATGGTTTCAATATCAATTCCGGCATACTGTAATAGCCATTGATGTGTTCGAATTCCTGTACCTTCTTCCTGATCAGCGACATTACACCGATGCGTGTAAGCACATGCTGACGCGAGAGACCCTCACGTGGCACTCCATCGGCAAATGTTTCGGCATTATCTGCACCAGGCTCGCACAGATGGCGCATAAACAACGACACGTACGCCTTGAAGTTGCGCTCCGATTTTCCACGCAAATCTCTGACCAGCCACTGGGAGTTGAACGCATCCTGCGGTGGCATACCGTAACGCATAATGGCATTGAGGAAGCTCTTGCGTTGGCGCGAATTGAAACCGAATACCTCAATGTTACCGCCGACACGAGCCAACAACGGAGCCAAAGGACGGTCATCCCTACGCTCAACACGACGTCGAGCCTTGCGTCCGCCGCCCTCAGCACCATTTTGTTCATCGAAATCATCATCGCCACCATCCTCCTCGGACCCAGCAGAATAGTCGGAATTATATTCCGAGTTGTTGTCTTGCCAATTGCTGTCATCCCGTGTCGATTCAGCAGCCACTACACCACCATCGGTGTAATTAACCTGTTTGCGCACACGTTTTCCCTTGCCCAGGGTACGGGACACATCCTCCTGATGCTGTTCGTAGTGATGGCGCAAAAGTTTCACCCAATAGGCAGGATCGGAATTTTCAGCTTCTTGTTTAATGATCTCTGTCTCCTCTTCCTCCTCCTCTTCTTTGGTCGCGTAGGAGGCCACCTTGAATGAGGACAAATATTCGTTGGCCCACGACTCCTTCTCCTCAATACCCTTGTTGGAACGATCCAGCAGTTCGGCCACAGCCTTGTCGTCATAATGAATGGCTTCCTCCTTGTCGTCCTCTTTGAACAGCTCCTCGGTACCGAAACGCAAAATATCATCCAATTCCTGTTTGGTGAAGTTCGCACCCTTGCCGCCCATCCCGGGACGCACCACCAAATGGGTCAACATCATTTTACGCTTAGCCACCTGGGTGACTCTCTCCTCGACCGAGTTACGGGTCACAAAACGATAGATCATCACCTTATTGGCCTGGCCAATACGATGGGCTCGCGAAAAGGCCTGTATATCGTTGTGGGGATTCCAATCAGAATCGTAGATGATAACCGTGTCAGCTGTGGCTAAATTGATACCCAAACCACCGGCCCGAGTACTTAGCAAGAATACAAACTGTTGGGCTCCCGGAGCGTTAAAGCGATCGATGGCCTCCTGTCTCAAATTACCCGTGATGCCGCCATCGATACGTTCATATTTATAGCCTTCGCCTTCCAGGAAATCCTCGAGGATGTCCAACATTTTTGTCATTTGCGAGAAAATCAAAACACGATGACCCTGCTCCTTCAGTTGCTTCAACATTTTCGATAGCAGGACCAATTTTCCGGCCGCCTTTGTCAGGGACGTGATCTCATAGAGACCACCAGCAGTGGTGGCAGCTTCCTCTGCGGCCGAGGGAAACAGATAGGGATGGTTGCAACACTTCTTCAGGTCCATCATTACATTGACCAGGGAACACGAATTGCCACCACTCTTGGAGTTGAGGGCTTCGTAGTTTTTGGTCAGAATGAATTTGTAGAACTTCTTCTGTAATGCGGACAGCTCCACTCGGACAATAAACTCCGACTTGGAGGGCATGTTCTTGAGCACATCGGCTTTCAGGCGACGCAACATGTGGGGGCCCAACATTTCGTGCAAACGTTTCACCTGTTCCTCTTTGGAGACATCGGCAAATTCATTCTGGAAAGCATTCAGATCATTGAACTTGTCTCCCGACAAGAAGTTCAGTAAATGGAACAGCTCCTCCAGGTTATTCTGCAGTGGTGTACCTGTCAGCAGCAACTTATAGGTGATGTTGTACGAGTTGAGAATTCGGAAGAATTTACTCTGATTCGATTTGAGACGATGGGCTTCATCCACCACCAAGACGGCCCAATCAATGGAACCCAAACAGGCGGCGTCCATTGAAATCAATTCGTAGCTGGTGAGCAGGACATTGAATTTATATTGGGTAGTCCGAAGGCGCGAAGCCTTGCCACCGCGAATGGCCCCCTCTTCGAAGGACAGCTCATTCTCACGAATGACAGCCCTGGAGTCCTTGTCGCCCACATAGGTGATGCAATAGAAATCGGGAGCCCACAGTTCAAATTCTCTCTCCCAATTGATGATGGTCGAAAGGGGCACGGCCACCAAGAAGGGTCCCTTGCAGTGACCCTCCTTGTAGAGGGAATACAAAAAGGTCACGGTCTGAATGGTCTTACCCAGACCCATTTCATCGGCCAAGATGGTGTCGACGCCATTGCTCCACGAGTAACGCAACCAATTGATACCTTCGATTTGGTAGGGATGCAGCTGCATGCCGGTGGCTTCCAAGAATGGCGGCTGACCTTCGTATTTCTTTTTCAGATCGGTTGTGGGTTTTTCCGGCGGCGGTGTGAAACGTCTCTGGGGACGATCTTCCTCCTCGAGGTCCTTGTTTTTACTCTTGCGTCCCTTCTTCTTCTTGTTCAGACGTTGTTCCGATGTGCACATGGCCCTCAGATCCAAATAGTAGTCAATGGCCTGCTTCAGCCCTGGTATGTCGTCACTTTCATCCTCCCATGTGGACTTGTCATAGGGCAAATCGCGCCACTTTACCAAATACATTGTGGTGCCATCTCGGGCGGTGCGATGATTTATGACCCGCTGGACAATCAGCCATTCGGGTTTGACACCGTTCTTATAGAACCTTTCTTCCAGATCTTTCTTGTACTGTTCGTCTTCTTCGTCGGCCTGGATGCCGCCCTTGGCCTTGTGGCGTTGTATGCGCAGATAACGCGAATCTGCCTCGTCCAGCGTCTCCTCGAATTTAGGCGGTTCTTCCATGTCGTACTTGCGAGAGAATGAGCGAATCATTAGAGGATGATGGACCTCCATTTGGATCTCGGGTACCCATTCGCAGTGCCAGTACGACATATTGTGCCACTTGACGAAATATTCACGCATACGGGAACCCTTGCCTTTGCCCTTGGCATCTTTGGACTCCACCCAACGCCAGGTGATGATCTTTTCAGCCTTACCCGTCAGCGGTGGGCAACTGCAACGTGGGCAACGCCAATCCCCGTCCGGTATTGTATCCAGCGGTGGATTCAAACAGAAAGTGTGATATGCCGAAGGGCACGAGTCGCAACACAACAGCTCTCCGCCGTCCTTACAGATGCGACAGAATTCTTGATGTTCATCATCGTCGTCTTCTTCGGCAGCACCGCCATCCGCTTCACAGTGGGGACACGACCATTTACCCTCGGGGGGCTCTTCCAATTCGGGTTCCAAACATACCAAATGGTAAGCTCGAGGGCAGGTGTCGCATAGAATAATTTCACCACCCTGCTGGCACACCTCACAATAGTCCTGGTGTTCGTGTTCACCATCTTCGCCGTCGGGAAAACGTGAAGTGGTCTTGAGCTTCTTTTTCTTTTTGAATTTATTGCCAATTTTAACTTTGGCCTTCTTGCGAACCACTGGGGTGCCATCCTCATTGGTTGCCGCAGCAGTAGCAGCATCCGTGCCACTGGCTGCTGCAGCGGAAGATGTCGAAGCGGCGGCGCCCCCGGCTGCAGCCGATGATGTATTGGGTATATCATCGGCACTGTCATCGGATTTCTGTAACATTTTCTCAAATTCAATATCGGAATCACGTTCCGAGGCGCCCGAAGCATCTTGATCTTCATCGGAACTGCCACGTTTACGTTTGCCAAATTTAATCTTGAGCGTAGGAACTTTACCGGAACGACGGCCTTTTTTGCCACGACCACGTCCGCCACGTTTACGACGGCCACTCGATGAGGATTCTTTTTCTTCTTCCTCCTCCTCTTCGTCCTCTTCTTCTTCGTATAGGTCATCGGGCTAAGGTTGGAGGAAACGAGTTAATAAAATGAAATAAAATTTATAAAAAATCGGACACATACCTTTTCATTTCTGGAAGAGCGTGAAGATCTCGGTTCATTGCCACCTTCTTCACTGCGTGACTGCTCATTATTTTGCACAATATTCGGATGGGCGTTGCAAAATTCACGCCATTTAGCCTCTACCAACATCATCAGCTTGGGTGCTGGCACCTTGGTGTTCTCCTTTTGCAGGATGGGTCGCACGTGCTGGGCAAAGGCTTTATAGGTTGTAAGCTGTTGCAGCTCTTCGTCGGTGTATTGAATATCAACATCGTTGACATCGAATGCCAAGCAAACCTCTTCAACGGATGGCATACCTTGAGGAAAAGTAAAAAATTAAATTTTTGATACCTTTTTGGTGTTCGTTTTACCTACCCGATGATGAAGATTCCTTTTCCTTGCTCGCCTTATCGACCTCCTTACGTTTGCGGCCACGCTTCGATGATGACGATGTATTGGCATAGTCGCCGGCATCCTCATCGTGTTGCATAAAATCACTGTCCTCTTCGCTTTCATTCTTCTTGCGTTTCTTTTTCTTGCGACCCTTTTCTTCGCCTTTCCTTGTTTTACGTTTTTTACCCTTTTTCTTTTTGCGCGTATCCTCGGGATCGTAATCGTCATCTTCGTCATTCTGTAAGGGTTATAAAATTGGGAATGAAATTTTGTATTTTTTTGGAGTCCGAAAAGGCTTCGAAATATGTACTTACATTCGGTTTCAAAGGTGCATCTGAGTCATTCGAAAGTTCAGCTTGTTGTGCGGTTTCATCTGCTGCCTCCTCCTCTTCTAAATGAAAAACAATTTGTTTTAGTATTTTTAATTATTTTGCGGGCAGTTTTAAGGGTTTTAAGGTAAGTTGGGGTTATTATAAAAAATTCAGTGTGGCATTTGGATTTTACTAAAAATAAGGCTGGACTTACCTGAAAATCCATTGATCTATTTAAAGAAAGAAAATATTTTGTTGGTTGCACAGGTCTCTAAAAAATAATATTTGACGAAAAACGAACCAATGACGAAAACGAACCAATTCGTCGGACATAACCTCAAATTTTTATTATACTAAAGAAAGTATGCGAAAAAATTAAACCTAATAGATAATTAATTATTTGTTGAGGGGTACATGTCGATCTTCTCAATAATTACAGTCACCACACATTGGGTTAGAAAATAGGATTTAGTAGTCTAAACGTAGCCTAAAGATAGATATTTCATCTACCCAAACAGCTGTTCAGGTGCATTCACATTGAATCTAACTATAAAGCGCGTTAATCTATTCATAAATCCAGTGAAAACACGTAATAGTTAATAATGTGATTTATTAATAAAATAGATCTGAACAGCTGCTTTTGCTATCAGCAGCAGTTTATTAAAAATTAAAATCTAAAAGGTGAAATCTAATAAAATTACTATGTGGCCAGATTACTTTAGTGGGATTAATTTATGACATATATTAATTTACCAATAAAATTGTCATGTGGCCAGATCACTTTTTATTGAGATGAATTATATGACATTATTATTCTCAATGTGGCACACTTAATTTAAAATAAGAAAAAAAGGCTCGGAATTTTGTTGATCACAATACGCATCGTAGTATATTCCAAATAAAACACATTTATACTAAGAAAAATGCATCAGAACAGCTGTTTATTCAATCAGCTGTTTTTGTAAATCAATAAAGCAAATTAAAGATATCATTTTGGATATTTCAAAAAGAGGACCATGTACCAAAACAGCTTTTCAGATGCATTCACATTATTAAATCTAACTATAAAGCGCGTTTAAATTACGAAATCTATTCATAAATCCAGTGGAAATACATAATAATTACTAATATGATTTATTAATAAAATATTTAATTTATGAATTACGAAATTTAATTAAATATAATATAATTATAATTATGCAGAACTTTTCTCAATGTTTCTTAAGAAATAGTAGCCTTTATTCTATACTGACAATCACTGTTGGTAGTGGGGGGTTAATAAAGCAGAGTTGCATTCCTCACGCAAAAATACTATGTGTAAACCTAGTATTATGCTTATCAAATTAATACAACATTTCCATATCAATCTCAATTTTATTATTATTTGTTTTTTTTTTTTTCTAAGAAAAAAAACCAAGCTTAATATATAATTATCTCATCCCTTATCAGACACGACACACACACAGTCCATACCTCTGAAATCTTAAAGATCAATTTTGTGAGGTTATTGAACTGCGTTTTTTTTTGTTATTTCAAAATAATATCCTACAAGTTAAATACGATGACATCTGTCATTGTTCACACAATGCATCCATGTGTTAGTGTGTCTGTGCGAGCACCCATCAGACGACAGGCAAGCGTGCTCTCTTCTCAAAAAAATCTTATAAATAAAATAAACAACAACAACAAAGCGGACCAGCAACCAACCACTCTAACCCACCAACCAACAGGTGTGAGTTAAAACCTCACATTGAATAGCTGGATGGCTGGCCTGACATCTGGTTGGTGTCATACATTGTGTGAGCATTCATTTTTTTGGGGCTATTGCTCCTTTAATATCTAGAAGAGCAGCAAAAAACTGGATTGTTGAAATTGTATTATGTGCATATATTTATTATACACATATGATTATATAGAAAATAAAATTATTTTTTGCTTAAAAATACAAAAACAAAACAAAAAATTTATTTCATGGCCAAAGGTCAAGAAAAACCAGAAATTTTAATTTAGAAACATTAACCCAAATAATAACGTCAGAGAGATTTAATTTCTTTCGATTTGAGGATGTTCACCCTTATGAGAATATTCCAAATATGTAAATGGTTTTTTATAAACAATTAAAAACAAGTAGGAATAGATACATAAAGGTAATAAGGAAGATGCATCTGAACAGCTGCTTTTGCAATCAGTAGTTTTTTTTAATTAAAATTTATATATAATAAAATTACTATGTGGCCAGGTCACATTAGTGCTTTTAATTTATGACATATTTTATTTAAATTGTCTATGGGAAACTTCGTTAAAAAAAATAGGGACGAGAATTTGACAAATATTAATCCATATAACACCACATTCTAATCATTTTATTTCAAAAACATGAAATATTTGAATTAAACTTATTTTTAAAAACATATTACAAATGTTTTCCAAGAAAAACTGACATGTGTCCAGATCACTTTATTGCGATTAATTATATGACATTATTCTCAATATGGCAAACTTTATATAAAATAAGAAAAAGGTTTGGAAATCTCTAAATTTTTGGAAACACAATACGTATCGTTGTATATTTTAAATTATTAGAAAATAACATAGTCAAAATTGTATTACGTCACTGGCGCCCTTTCTTAATCGTTTACATCGAAATTCGTTTACATATTTATACTAAAGTTAAGTTTAGATTTACGAAATCTACTCGATCTAAAATGTCAATTCCATAGCGTATTAGGATTAACGTGACGTATACACAATGAAATTGACGTTTGAGATCGAGTGGATTTGGTAGTCCAAACGTAGCCTAAGAAAGATGCATCAGAACAGCTGTTTGTCCAATCAGCTGTTTATTAATCATCATGTTGGTTGTCATCAACATTTAAAACTCTCTGGCCATACATTAATTTTTGAAATGCAATAGAAGAATGTTGCCACCAACCCAAAGAAAAGATTTTGTCCGTTTTTGATCAATTTGAACTGCAAAAGAATAGTTGCCAACCCAAAGAAAAGATTTTGTCCGTTTTTTATCAATATTTTTGTTTAAAGTTTTATTTATATATGTATATATATATATATATATATATATGATTTTGTGTTATTTTCATCTTGTAGTTCGTCGTCATAGTATTTCGGGGGAATTTGTCTTTGTTTCAAATATTTGTTTCTTGTTTTTTTAATAATATATATTTTTTTAATATTAATATAAACTACTTTTTCTTTTGTAACAATATCAAGTATTTGTTTTTTGTTTTCTTTGTATGTGATATATATATGCTTGTGTATATATAGTTTTGTTCTTCAGTTTTGTCTTAGTTATTTTTGTGGTTTGTTTCTTGTCAGCAAAATTGCAACTTAAAAACTAGAGTTTGTTATTCTTGTTGTCGTGTAGAGTTCGTTCTAGTTTTATTTATACTAAATCCAAAAAAAAAAAAAAATTATATTAAATTTTACTTTTTTCAGATATCATTTTCAAATACCTTAGGCTTGATTTGTTGTTTTTGATTTTTAACTATATACATCATTGTTTATTTAATGTTTTTTTATACTATTAAATTATTATTCGACGGAATAATGAATAAATTGGCCATGTGTTTTTAATTAAATAAAAAACCTCTTATTTATTAATTGTAACAAAAAATAATAAATTAAAAACCAATTCAACAAAAAATTAATTTTCAAACAAAAATTTCTCACCGTGCATCAAACATTTTGAATTTTTCTCCATTTATGAAATCACGAATTGATTGATGGCTTGTTTACATATACACACAATCACACAGCGAACAGCTGTTCGTGCAATCAGCTGTTTGTGTATGTCTAAAAGCAAAGGCATAATTATGAATGAAATTTTTCATTGTTTTGAAGGGAATTAACGGATTCGTGTTTGGAATGGAATACTGAAAAAGTGACATCATAGTCATTTACATTGCTTTCAGAAATCGTCAAAAAATAATCCCCTCCAAAAGTTTGATATTTGATGTAAATGTACCTTAAAATACATTAGTTCTAATGCCACCCGGCCATACATCAAATCATATCTTTTTCCAACAATAAATATAATGAAATTAAAAAAAATAATAATAATAAAATAGAATTGTTGGTCCATGATAATTCAAAATTAAATATGATTTTTTTTTGTTTTGTACTTGGGAGTTACGACGAAAATATACATTTCTTTTCAAGCTAAAACAAAACCAAAATGATGGTGCATTAATTTGTGTGAGTTTTATGATTTTTTTTCACATGATTGTATGTGCTTTTGTTTTTTTTTTTAATTATTTATGTATTAAGCTTAATTATTATAAATATTTTTAAGTTATATATTACTTATTTATTTCTTTTACGGTATATATATATGTAAAAAAATAAATCGCTCTATATGCAAAATATATATACATATAATTTTGTTTTGAGTTTTTTTTTCGTACAAATTTCTGTTCGAAAATTTGTTTGCTCCAAAAGTTTTGTGAAAAAGCATAACTAAACGAAAAAAAAACAGAAAAAAATTAGAAGGGACATTTTTTATGAAATTCTTCTCTAAATCAAAAGGATAAAAAGCAATAAGGCGAAGGCGGCTGATACTTTGTAAACTTTCGCTAACAAAATTACAATGTGCCAGATCATTTTAGTGAGATTAATTTTATGACAAATTTTATTCAATATAGGCAACTTCGTTAAAAAAAAAAAAAACAATAGGGGGTTAGAATTAGACATTGTGAAAAATAATACAACCCATATAACGCCACAATCTAAAAAATTGTTATTTAAAACATTAAATATTTGCAAAAGTAATTCATAGACATATTACAAAAATGTCATGTGGCCAGACCACTTTAGTTAGATTAAATATCTGACAGAATTCTTTTCAAAATGGTCAAATTTAATTTTGAAACAAGAAAAAAGTATCGGAAATTACTCAATAATATGTACGACAGCTGATATTAAGGCTATATTTACACTGAATTTATTTTAGGGCAAGCTTATTTTATTTGACATATATACAAAAGAAATGACAATTCAAACACGTTCGGTGTAAATGTACCCTAACCCCCCTTAATATAGTCCGGGGTCCTGGCACTAGAACCCA